AAAAAAAAAAAAAAAAAAAAGTAATAATAATTGTAATCTTCATTAATTATATTAAAATAGTGTGGGCGTTTCACACGAAGTATATTTTTTAGCTTGCTTCCCATCAGAAAGTCATCTCTTAAAGTCAGTTCATTTCTATACCCTTAACATTTCAACCATGCTGTACAGAAGCCTTAGTTTATAGTAGGTACATATGAGAACTGTGACCTCTTCTAAATCTGCAAAATTGCCAAGTAGTCACTTCTTTGGAGAAGTCATTTTAATAGTCCAATCTTCCAAATGTTATGTCTTCCATTACATGATAAAATATACCCATTCAGCAACAGAATTAGAGGACGGAGGTAACGCCTTGTGTAGGTCAAGTCAAAAAATATAACTCTTGTATAGTTCTCCACGTGCCTACCTCACAACTGTTTTTTTTTTTCACAACTATTTTTATACCAAAACACTAAAATAGATGTATTTTTAGATTACGTATTACCGATTACACATTGCAAATTAGTTACTGGTCCAACCGAAAACATTAAACTAAAATATACAAAGTCAATTTGAAATAATATAATACTCTCAAAAGACAAATGTTTGAGATTTTTGCCTTATTATATCTTCCATTTATTCACACATGCTTCCCCAGATAGCTAATTTCACATTCTGTTTTCAAAATCAGCTGGCAAGACTAATTTTATGCATTTTGATTTTAAAATAGCTGATATCCAGAATCATACACTTCTTTTCCAACCTGGTAGTTAGTTGAAAGATACAAAATATTTTAAGGGCACTTCTGTTTATGTGTTCTTTTGCAGTTTAATCAGATGTCGTAGCAGGAACTTTAACAGAGAGATTTCTTCTGGTGCTGGTGATGTGCCGCTGCTGTGCTAGGAAAGACCGGGCAGGAGCACAAGCCCCCGTGTCTCTGTAAGCACCACTGCCGCTCACGAGTCTAGATTCCATCCCTAATTTCTGGAATGCTAGACTCTGAACAAAAATAAACAAATAACATGACTATGTAGAGTTTGCAAAGTTCTTTCCACATATACAAAGTCATTTAATCCTCAGAACAATTCTATATAGCTGGTGTCTTCCTCATTGTTATAGAAAAATTAAGGGTTCAGGAGCTACACTCCACGTGATAATGCCAGTAAGAAAGGGGAAAATAAAGGCATAAATCCCTGTTTCTCTATTTTGACCCATTAAATTTGAAATTGTTAAAAACAGTAGCTTAAAATAATGCTCCAGAATTAAGCTTAATTTTAACAATAGAAAAAAAGTCCCAAGGCAAATTTTTGTGTTGGGGCCATTACTCCAGCCATTATGAGCAGACACAGCACAAGAGAAAAGCTTAGGATCAATGGTTCTTGAAGTGTGGTCCCTGGATTAACGTTTGCACAACTGGGAATTTAAAAGTGCAAATTATACCTGTGGATTCTACCCAGACCTACTGAATAAAAAGCTCTGCAGGTAAGTCCAATAGTTTGTGTTTTAACAAGTCTTCTGTTGAATGCTAAAGTTTGAGAATCACAGAATAGTTCAAATTTACTATGGTCTAGCTATATATCAGTACATGACAAATTACCGTAGTTGTGGCTATTGGGTTTCTTACTAAGGGAAGAAGTCACTACTCCTCTCTCACTAGATCACATAAAGCGATTTTACTGAACTTAGCTTCACTGGTAACTAGTACAATAGACAACAATATTGTAAATGCTCAAAAAATATGGGTTGAAAAATGATTAAATAATGCATTATTTGGCTCTAATATCTTTGATGATTTATGTATCAAGAGGCCACAGAACAACAAGGAAAATAATATATTGTCCCTAATCTTAACCAGGATGGCTAACCCATGAAGGAAGGTTCTTGGGACACCTCACACAATCTCCTTCAAGGTCTTGCTAAATTAAGCCAGATTTCACCAAATAGAGAAGGGAGGGAGAAAACACAGACAAAAAGTATGATGACATGAAAGAAAAAGGCATGTTTGAGGATGGAGAACCAGCTCTTCATGGTGAAGCACAGGCTTCACACGTGGAGAGTCTATAAACTGATATTCTCTCATACTAAATAAATGGCAGCTAAGGTAGATAATGGCTGTGTTATTATCTATGCTAGCTGATTAGAATACTCAAAAGAACCATATACATCAGGAAATGCTACTCTTGAAAACATCCCACCATACTAAGGATGACAAAATAAAATATACCAAATTATTTTATACTATTTTCTCTGTTAGGACAGATAGACAATTCTTAAAGAGCAGTCTCTGGATAAAAAAAAGAAAATACAACAAAGGATACACTGAGAGGCTTTAGGGATGTTAAAATACATGCTGAGTACTAGAAGCAATTAATTTTGTATTATACAGATATTCGTATTTCTACAGAAACACTTTATGAAGCACAAATTAAATGTTTTAGCTCAAATAAGGCGATTTTAAAAATGTTTAAGAACTGTATGAGTGCTTCATGTGCATTAACTTAAAGGTTGGTGAGTCATGAAATCAATTTAGTGGTTTTCAAAGTCAAAATCAACTAAAAATATTAAAATATAAAGTAAATTTGGATTATGATCAACATTTTAAAAAAACGAGAGAATATAGTAGAAAACACCTGAGTGCAACACACACAGTCAAGGTAACTTTGTTCAGTTATACATAAACATGAACACATACTAATTTGTAGTATAAAGTATATTTCCTTCTGTGGTTCATGGTCAAATTGTTTGATAAACACTGTTCTAAACATCGATTCACTGGCTAAATTTCAACTCACCTTATTATACCAGGCAGAAACAATGAGTTTTTCTTCATAATCACGGAATTTTGCTACTTTACACTCACTCTGGAAAAAGATATGAGGACTATTAAAATCCCAGAAACAAACCCAAATTACTGAAAATGGAATATTTTTTTCACTATGCCCATGATCAAGAGAACGTGAAGAATGCATTGTGAGGCACAGAAAGTATACAAATTGTAAAGCTGAATCATGGGAAATGCATGCCCAGCACCTTTAGGAAAGAATAAGATTGTGACTAATAAATCTTTATTTTAGGAATTGTACTAGTAGAACAGATATTAAACAATAACAAACAAGAAACGAGTGATTCTTATGCTACTGTCCCCTATATCTAGAGAAAAAAGTAACAACTGGCTTAGGTGACAAAACAAAGCTGCACCTGCGGAGAGTCGAAACTAAGGAGAAAAAGGATGTAGGGAAAAATACCCCAGAAAATCCTTTAAAATTTCCTGTAAAGCTTAGCAAGAATTGTTCTGTCTCAGTCCTTGGTGACTGTATGCTACACTGCCCAGGGCCCTATCTGCGTGCCACCCTAGAGACTGACGTTCATTTCTTAATTACTCTAATACAGCTGATTTTGTACATGTTGTGGAGCGCCAGATATAGCTGGCATCTAAAACATATGAATGTTCCTACAGCAAGATGCTCATGGTGCGAAAAGCATACAGGAAACAAAGGAGGTAAGATGCCCATCTTCTCGCTCACATCCACTCCAGACAGACTGCCCGAGAAGGATGCAGACAGAATAACCTCTGCTATAAACATTAGTTTTCTCCTTTTTACTGTTTGCAGTGTGTGTACAGATAACTACACATAAATCAAAGGCCCATATGCTGTGACTTTGAAGATTTTCCTCACAGCCCTATATTAGAGGCACCATTTTGTCATCACACTTGTAAAGGAGCTACATTTCAAGTATCAACACTGGTGCACATTCTCATTGGCTTTCACTGGGAAGTGACTATTCAAAGCAACTTAGAGTTCATAGATTATTCAGTTCAAGTCCCATTATTTTACAGATGAGGAGACTGAGGACCAGACAGGAGTGACAACTTTAAGACAAGTTAACAGTAAAGCTGTAACCTTGGCTTCTGATTGATGTGATATTTAATGCCGTGGGGGTACAGAGATATGATACAGCCTCTGCCCTCAAGACACTCTGACACATGCCATAAAGAAAAATGCTATTGTGGGATGAATTCATGAGTTCAAAGTACATGGAGTCACTATAAAGAGACAACTCACTTTGCCTAAGATATACAAGGAGAGCTTTATAAATGGGAGATACTGCAGCTGGATCCTGAAGAATGAATAGTATTTCTTCAGAGAGACACTTCTATCCAGTGATTTTTTACAACACTTGACATGGCCTGGACAAGCACTTGCAGCAAGTGCACCACAGGCTGGTGTGTACTCTGTATATTAAGGCCTTTAAAGCTTTAAATAAATTATTTCCACCACAGTCTCTATCTACTGGCTCAGAAATAATATGAGTAAATGAATATAGTGTATTTCCCTGAAATAAAATGAAGAAAATGGTAAATGAATATAGTGTATTTCCCTGAAACATAACCTTCCTAGTTGATTTATTGGGAGAAGAAAAGTAAAAGAAGAATCTGGTTAACTGAGTGTAGTACCTTTTTAAAAAGGTGAGCTTTGTGTTTTTGTTTTTTTTTTAATGAACTCTCATCCACATAATATTAAAAGGAGCATGATGGCAGGACTCTACTAGAAAGAAGGGCTATCTATATGATTGGCTGATACAGAGGGAGAGACATACAATGGAGCAAGATACATAAACTTGTAGAGGCCCATCTTGTGGGCTTGTGAGATGCTTTGTAATAAGCATACTGAGTGCTAAAACATGACACTCCTAACTTCTAAATTCCTGTGAAATTTGATCATTAATGGCAAATATTGACAGCAGTTAATTATATATTGACAGAATAATTAAGAGGAGATATATGAATATGGAAGTTTTACCTCCAGAATCTCAATTCTTCTCTCTTTCTCTGCCAACTGCTTTCTAAGTAGCATTATTTCAGCTGATGCTGGATTTAATTTGGGGTCTAAAGTTTTTATTACCTGTTTAAAGGAAAAAAACAAATCTCTTACATTCACTTTATCTTGTCAAATACTGAAATAAGAACACAGTGTGTAAAATCTGTGTAAAGTGGAACATTATCCAGAAAGTGATCCAGGAGCTAACTATAACTTGTTTCACATTCTAATTTGAGTAACAAAAATAACATTCTACAGACTAGAAATGGTGTAAAAATTCAGTACAAAAATGGGAAGATACCCATCCCCAAATCAAATATCCTTCTCCAGGCTTAGTACTCAGCCTTATCAAGCTTTGAGCACTGAGGTCTTGAAATAACCCTTTTCTACCTTTAACTTGAATCAGATAAATTAAAACATTTTTTAATTAATTAAAATGAATTCAATAGTTATATGGGAACTTGCTAACTGTACAAAGTAGGAGTAACTAACACACAAAAAAATTCTTAGCAACAATCTTTTACTACCATTATCTAGTTAGATGTAATTCAATATATAAGATAAATAGACATTGATGATTTTGTCTGCAAATTCTAGAGTATTCAATCATATCCATGTAAATTACCAAATGTGAGCAAAAACAAAGTTTGATCAGAATGTCGTTCAGAGACTGAACTGAACTATGTAGTCAGCAGTATGGTAGCAAATCAACTCAGAAATATTAGGTATAAATTACAAGCAAAACATGTTTCCAATAATAAGGTCATCTGTATCACCTAATTACAAATCTATTTTAAAAGATTTAAAATTTAATGACAAGAAAATTTCATCTATGTTTATAGAGGTAAAGAAAAAAGACTAGAAAGTAATATCCCTAAACATTACTGTGGTTCATTCAAAACGATTCACTGCTAAACGTGGCAGGCACTGTGGCAGATGGGGCTGCAGCAGTTTGCCAGAGTCAGGGCAACTGACTCTTATGAAGTACCTCCCCTTATGAAGTACACATTGTAAAAGCAGACACATTAGTTTTTAAACCATAATTACAAAGAACACATAAAAATTGGTTGCCTCTAAGTGATAGAAAGTATGGTTGTGACTTTTCTATATTTTCTGAGCTTTCTATCATGTACATATGTTACTATTTTAACCTCTCCCCTGAAGTAGTGTAAGGGTAAAAAATGAAATCATGTTTACCAAAAAAGCAACTATTTTTTAAATGATAATATTTGATGATGGCAAGAATACAGTATTCGTTGTCATTGCTTTGTCCAATTAGCTATAATACTTTTAGAATATCATGTAGAAATACATGTTAAGCATCTTAAAAATGTTCTTATCCTTTGACCCAATAACTTTGTTTGATGCATTAACCTAGGAACAAGGTTAACATAATAAACCAAAATAAGGGGAAACTTTCTGTATAAATATGTTTCCCGTAGCCTTATTTCTAGGAGCGAAAAAGACATGGAAACAAACTATTTCCAACAATAGGATGTTGACTAAGTAAACAATGATATATCTACTCAACTGAAAGATTATGTAGCTAACTCTTTAATTCTGCAGTCTGCTCCATACACAAGTGTATTGTTTGCTGCTGTATTCCCAGTGCTTACCATAACAGGTGCTCGATAAATATGAAGCTATATTTATATAACATGAGGACATTAAGTTTAAAAATACAAATCGCACGATCCAAATCATACGTGATACGATCATACAAATTGGGTGTGTGGGTGTGTTACGGTAAACAATCACGGAGATAATAGGCACTGAAAAAAATGCACTGTTAACAGCAGTTGTCTCTGGGAACCTTTCAATAAATTTTCTACTGAAAGCATTTACACATTTGTAACAGAGACACTGAAGTGTGGCAGACTGCCCGGATGTTTAGTAAGTCGGCCTCCTGAAGTTGGGTGCAGCCACCTGCCTGAGTTCTGCCCAATGAAGTGCGAGGGAAGAGATTTACGCTTGATCCATTACATATGTTCCATACGATCTTGGCTTGTCTTCCCTCCTCTGTAGCTGGACAATGTCGAGTGAATCTGAGAACCCCTTAGTGAAGAAGGCTGACCCTTCGTCAGCTGGGGGCTCTGAATGACTGCATAGAGTACGGCTCCTCCCACACTGACGACTGAACTTCGTGTGATCAAGAAGGGAACTTCTGGGCTTCCCTGGTGGCACAGTGGTTGAGAGTCCGCCTGCCGATGCAGGGGACATGGGTTCGTGCCCCGGTCCGGGAAGATCCCACATGGCGCAGAGCGCCTGGGCCCGTGAGCCATGGCCGCTGAGCCTGCGCGTCCAGAGCCTGTGCTCCGTCCACAACGGGAGAGGCCACAGCAGTGAGAGGCCCACGTGCCGCAAAAAAAAAAAAAAGAAAGACTTCTATCTTGCTAAGCCTTGAGATCTTGGGGCGTACCTGTTGCTGCAGGTACTATTTACACCTTAATAAATAAAAAACTTAAACATAACAAGGGAAGACATGTTAGCAGTATTTTAAGGCTCTGTCATAAAATTCTCTTCTTTTATTCAGTAACTAGAAAAGGGCACATTAACATTCTGTGAGAATACTTACAGTTAATTAGGAAAATATATTCATGGAAATAAAAGATTTTATGAGAACAGTACTTACAGATATTTAAGAAAAAGTATGAAATAAGGAAAAGAATAATTAGTCTGGTGAACATTTAGACATTAACTGTCTAATACAGACTTAATGGTAAAACAATTTAAACAAGTTTGGTGAACATTTAGAACATTAACTGTCTAATACAGACTTAATGCTAAAACAATTTAAACAAGTTTGCAAAGCTCAATTTTCACAAAGGCAAATGTTCACTGTAAGAGCTAAAGATTACATACCTTACAGTAGTCATTTTCTCTATATGAGGTCACTACAATCAATATTTAACTGTCCCTATGAAGCCATGCGTAGTATTTTCTGATGCTGATGAGTGAGAGGGAAAGAACATGAGGACTGAGGTGGAGATGCACCAGGAACCTGACTGGCAAGGCAGGGTAGTGGGGAGTAAAGCGATGTGACATAGATCCAAGAAGAGGTGGGATAGGCCCAATTAGAACCCAACTCACAAAGACTAAAACCCTGAAAGATAAGCCACTCACATTTCTTGCTTTCTCTAAGTACATTTTGTATCTTTCCTCCATTGCTTTCATATCTTCATCTTTCTTCTGAAGAGCAGCTTCAAGTTCGTTGATCTTTTGTACTGTTATTGAAAAGAAAATGAAACAAGCAATTTAAAGTACTCCCTCCTCACAAAAAAAAATTATATTTTCTAAAGACTGATAATGAGAACTTAGAAGAGAAACATTTTATTTCTTCTTTGTAGTCAATTCTTATCTAAAACTTTTGAACTACACCCAATACATCCCTGATCATTTTGTATTATTTTTTCTTAAAAAATATCTCTAATCTGCTTTACTGAGTTATTTTTCTCCCTTCTATCAAGTATTTCATTGAGCAAATACACCTTACAATGTAAGCACAACCATCACAAAATAAAGCATTCTTTCTACATGTTTGAAGTTCATTTTAATCTGATTATAAATTATTTTATTTACACTTCCATAGTATTAATTTTATTATATTTTACAATGTTTGATACTCCTATATATCAGGTCATTTTATTAGATTTACCTTTTTTTTGCTTTAGGATATGATCATTTATTAATTACTTAAATCACTAAAAATTATTATGATTCTTATTTGCAATGTACGTATCTGCATTGCCTGAAGACTTATATACACAGTTCTTGCATCCTTCAACTAAAAAAGTCAAGTTTTTACATAAAGTCTGATCCAGATTTTTACAAATACCTACCATTCTGGTTTACATCTGGCTGGAGGTCTTCAATGAGCTCTTGTTTCTTCTGTAATTCTTCATGGACCTCCGTTAGTTTTTCCCTAAGTAGTGGAAAGAGCATGGAGCTTTGGAGCCAAACAGACCTAAGAATGAAAACTGGTTTCTGCCACATAACATTTGTGGACTGTGGGAAAGTCACTTTCTGATCCTCAGTTTCTTCATCTGTGAAATGGGAATAATACCTGCCAAATATTCTAGGGGTTGGTTATGAGGATGTAAACTGCCTAACACATGGTGGGTGCCAAGAATTTTACAGTTTTCCCCTGGCCACCCTTGCTTCCAAAGAAAGTTAAATAGTTTATAGGTTAAACATCCCACACTTCCACATAATCTAGTTCTGACAGTTGTCTGCTTTATAAACTCTTCAAACGACATTAGCGATAAAAAATGTAGGCGTTTGGGATCATGAGCAGGTAGGCTGACCCTTTTACCATGTTCTTCTTTTCACTTTTGGTAGCAGTGGTGAACACTGAATTGGCATCAGCGTTTTTACTTTTAATAAACAAAATCAGAAAAGGATATTAATAACTTCAGAAGCTTTAAAAACCCTTTCCCTCTCATATTTGAAATGAATATCAGTTTTACTTACATATGAGCTTCCAACTTCTGCTTTAGTTTGCTGGACTATAAAAATTAGAAAAAGTTGCTGTAAGATAACTATTGTGACAAAGGTAAGTTTTCCAGACATTGAAATCTCTTTACCTCCTTTTGAAGGGATACTATATAAAATTATAAATGTTTTAAAAATTTGTATTTCTAATATACTTTTAAAAACAGAAAATTTTAGGTATATTCTTACTTCAAAGAAGAAAGAGAAAGAGAATAGGAAATTAAATTAGGAAGAGTAAGTATAATAGCAGAAAGAAAAATACTTCATATTTTTGAATACAATGAAAATAAAATTTGAACTCAAAGGAAAATAGCAAATGTAAGCTGAATGTGATATATTGAGGAGTATCAAACATTTAAACTCTTAAAGAATCATCCATCTAAAACACAAATTTTAGGATTTTAGACCTTCACTAAAGAATAGACTTAATGAACAAAAATTATCTCTATAATAAAACTTTATCATTATAAATGCAAGCACTTTCAATATTAACATCAAAATGAAGCAATTGGATTTTGTTAAAAAATAAAATTTAAAACACAAAATTTCCTCTTTAAAAGAACTTAGGAATTTAGGAATTAGACTGCAAAAAGGAATTTAGATTGCAATACTAGTTCTGTATCATCTACCAAATAGTTTGAAGAGTTTAAAATATATAATCTAAAATGTAATTTGGACACCAATAAATTTTTTTAAAAAGATAAATTTAAAATCCTTAAAACACTGCAATCCAAAATGTACTACCCCAAAATGATCCCGTTTAAAAATACTTTTTAATGTGGCTTAAAAAAATTTGTATTAGAGAGGTTACAATACTGTATATATGCACATATGAGATGCTGCCATGCATGAGATGATTTCTATTTTCCAAGCCCCCAGGGAAAAAAGAGAAAATCATATAAAGCGTATAAAAGACAGAAAGAAAACTCAACCCTTTCAATCTTCCTTTTCATCTCTTTATTTACTCTCCCTCATCAATACAAGTATAGTTACCTAACATTCTATCCAATCAATATCTAACACACATCTAGCCCTATCTTTTTTTTTTGGAACAGAAAAAGTTTTATGGAAGGGCCAAGCAAGAAGAATGGGCAGCTTATGCTCAAAAAGCCTAAACTCCCTGATGGTTTTCAGGGAAGAGTTTTTATAGGCAAAATTTTGAGGGAGGGCTGCAGGGTGCATGACCTTTCTCTGATTGGTTGGTGGTGAGGTAACAGGGCAGTGCTCTAGAAATCATGTGCTCAGCCTGAAATTACCATCCTCCACCTGGGTGGGGATCTTAGTTCCTGTAGAAGAACTCCGAGATATATTGTTATGTATATCCTTTGAGGAGGAACCAGGACCATGCTTCATCTGCACTGTTGTTTCTTGACCGCTCCTCCTCTGTTTCTGCATTCCCTCCCTTCCCTAATTGGTAACTGTTTGAATCTGCCCTTTAGAACTCAGGTAAGGTCTAGGAGGCCAAAGCCTTTTTCCTTAAAACATGAAATGGGAGACAGAGAAAGACTTTTGTACCTGGGAGGGCCCTACAGCGTCCCGCTCAGTTTCAAGCATGCTTATTGGGATCATTGTTTCTAAGCCTTTTCCACGAGCAGAGCTAGGAAATATGCACACACACACATACACAATGCACATACACAACATACTTTTTTGTATGTATGTTATAGTCAACAAAAAGGGCTTTTTGTTGAAATGAACATTTTGTCCTTCATTTTGCTTCCTAGACTCCCAATAGCATAGCCCACTGAGGAGCTATTGGCACAAAGCCCATTTAGTATTTTGAAGTCTTTGTGGAGAAAGAAAGCAGTTCTTCAATTTGAGTTTATGGATCCAACTCCCATTTCAATGTTGTTCATTTTCTCTCTCATATATTAGTTCAAAAAAATCTCTGCTCATCCATACTATTTTACAAAGTCTATTTATATTTTCCAAATGCCAAACTTTCATCAAATAATTCTCTTTGGGGACTGTCTGAGATGCAAGCTGTTGCAGAAAAGAAGAGGAAAGAATGGTCTGTGGGCCAGCCCACCTGTGCTTTGCTCTCATTCTGTAAGTTTGCTAGTTGCAAGTCCAGACTGAGAATGAGCTACACAGGTTGCTAACACAACAGAAACACACCTTCTTACAAGGGATATTAACAAGAATATGGCCCTGAGTCCTAATTTTAGCTTAAATGCTAGGCTATAAAAGAAGTACAAGGGACACTCGATTAAGGAAGGATTTAGTCTATACTGAAAAGCATGAAAATAGGATGACAAGTGCAAAAGGATCAAGGGCAGATATTCAGTTTCTGTCACACTTCTCAATGGAAACAGAGGAAAATATTTGCTGTAATACTTGTGTGGTCTTGAAGACAGGTCCAATGTGTCAAGTATGACATCAGCCCTATCTTTTTGTTGTTGTTTTAGTTAAATACATTCCTCCCTCAATTATTACTTCTTCACCTCTCTGTATATAGAGATTGAACTAAATAAACATCGCCAGGTCTATTCAGATTTAGGCTGTTTGATCTTTTTTAAGTCCTCTTACCTCTGCCCTCACAATTATTTGCCATCAAAAACCATGAGAAATGGCAAGGCCATGAGTCTGTATGAATCAAGGAGGGAAGAAATAAGGGGTGATGTACTTCAAGACTGCTTTAAGGTTTCTGTCCTTTGGAGGTTGATGTGACCTACTTCTCGAATGTTCTTTTGGTAGAAATCACTTTCTCATTCTCTCTTTTCCTCTATTCTGACTGCAGATTACTCTCACTAGGGTTTTCTCAGGCCAGTCCTGTTGGGATCTCAGCAAAACTGTGAAGGCCTCAATTGTAGCATGCTCCCAATCAGGAATTACCATGAACTTAAGGGTAGCTGTTGAAGTAGGACAGATAGAAATCACCTTCCAATCCATATGATCAATTTGTAGGCTCCAAGTTGGCAAAATCACTGCATCTGTTATGCATATATATACGGTATTTAAGGGCACCCCCAATGATAAGGGTAGCACTTTCAAATACAAGATTAATTTGGATATCAGGATCTATTACAGAGAGTCCATACACAACAGAATTATAACTTTTAAGTTACTTACACTTTCTCCTTCAGACTTGGAGCCTTGTTCTTGCAAAGACTTCTGGAGGTCCTCAATCTGCTGCTGCAGTTCTCGAATTTGTTCTTTGCTCAGCCTATTAAAAGATGAATCACACGTGTTTATTTGTACTGAAAGTCAAAGTAGTTAAGGATCTATAAAGGTGCATTTATGCAATTTAACTCATAAAGTATACATTTAATAGCAATAACCAAAGCTGAACAATTATCTGTGGCTAGGTATAATATATGGTATAGTAGCCTACTTTCAAGGAAATATTCTTTAAAAAAAGATATTTTTATCCTGAAAGCATATATGCCCACGTTTAAAAATTTAAGTTTCTTAATGAGTCAGCAGCAAAGCATAACGTTTCTGCACTGTACTCACTGGTATAAAATTCAGAAAACTAGCTCAGTTTTCCTTCAGTTGTATTTTTAATGAATGGAAGTTAGGTTTCCATTTCTTGTTTCAGATTTCACAGGGTGTTGGGAGAAGAGGAAGGCCACCATTTTCCAACCATTTCTTCGTGACTTTTATTTCAACTAAAGACATTGGCACTAGCAACTACTGCAGCTTTTTAACTTGGCAAAATCTCATTAAAGATGGATGGGATGGGGGTGGGGTGGAAGGGAGGTCTAAGAGGGAGGGGATGTATGTATACGTATAGCTGATTCACTCTGTTGTACAGCAGAAACTAACACAACACTTAAAGCAATTATACTCCAGTCAAAAAAACAAAAAAACAAAAAACCCTGCTTAATCATTACTGCCACTGAAGTTACCAGCAAGAGAGAGAGAGTTACTATCTGTCTGACTTTCTCTCTTCATATATATATGACACAACACACCTGCCCATCATGACACTCCATTTTTCCAATATTACAGTTATCACATAATAATTATCTATTCACATGTCTATCTTCCTATATTAACAGCTGAAACTTAGGATCTCCAGTGCTGATATTGAACCATATAAAACAGCAATATTTAATGGTCTCTTCAGAAAGCTAAAACGTTCTTTTTCTTTTAACTGCAGTTGATGTAATAGTATACATACAGGTTGAGAGACAAGGTTTAAGTGTCTTTAAAATTCCTGGTGGTCTCTAAGATCCAATAAAGGTAGGTCAGATAAATCCAAATACCTTGTCAGTATGCTATTATAAGAGGCAGGTTAGCAAAGTGGTTAAAGAGCACAGACTCTGAAGTCAGATTGACAGAGGGTTCAAACGCAGGATCCAGAACTTACTAGCTGTGTAACTTTGGGCAAGTTACACCTTGCACCTCAGCTTCCTTGTCCATAAAGAAAGAGATAATTATAGTTACTACTTCATAGAGTTATTGTGAGAATTTACTGAGCTAATATAAAAAAGTGCTTAGAAAAGTGCCTGGCACTAGTAAGCACCATATAAATGTTATTTTTTTAAAACATTATAATTTTTGAACACCTCATTGATATCAGATAAGTACACCATTTGCTTTAAACACATTATCTGTAATCTTCATAAGAACCTGCAAATAGGTGTCATCTCCAATTTATAGCTGAGGACACTAAGTGTGAATTTAAGTAACTTGCCCAGTTTAAGTAGAGGTGGAATTCAAATTTGACTCCACAAGCTATGTACCATCTGTGCACAAGACTCCAGCTGAAAACCAGATTGTCATTTATTCATCTGTTAATTTTTTGTCATTCGTGAAGACATCTAAATGAAATTCAAGAATAAGCAACTTGCTTTAACAAAGTCTGCTAAAAATAATGGGTAGTGAGAGATGAAAAAACAAAAATCGAAACTTGTGCAAATCCTAATTATTTGAACTACAATGATATCTTCCACTTCTGTGAATCAAGATTCTGTGGTTAGGTAATTAAATCGCTATGACTATCAATTATGAAGGAGTGTGTCAGTCACCTCTGCTCAGTTTCCAATTCATTCATCTTGCGGTGCTTCTGTTCCAGCTGTTCCTGAAGTTCTTCAATACGTTCATTCTCAGTACCTTCCTGCTGTAATCGAAGCATCTTATTTTCATGTTGCAGTCGAATAAACACCTCCCTGATGTTAAAAAGCAATTAAAAACAATTTTTTTAAGTATAAGAGTTTTTAAAATTCTTTGCTTTTTAAAAAAGAAAATTCCTGTCCACTCGCTAGCTGTCATTTTGAAACGTTACCAAAGCTTCTGAAAGTTCTTAAGAAAAAACTGTGCATTGTAGGACTATGTCTCAAAAAAACAAATGGTAAGTTTTTAAAGGTACAGGTAAAGATTATATGTCAATAAATGTTTATTATGTAAATCCCTAAGAGATTATATGAATTATTTTACTTTGATAATTTAGAAACTATTCACAGTAAAGGTAATATATAGCACATCTTTAGAAAACATATAAATAAAAAGCAGTAGATTTAAGAAACTACAGTTTGCTTTAAATTTTTAAGTATACTTTTATGATAATGACAGTCATGAGTGTCTCTAGACTTTTTGTTTTTAGAAAAAATTTTTATTAAAGGTTTACATACATGTTCTTAAAAATGCAAATGATAGGAATGGTATTAAATTAAAAAGTAATGCTTCCTACCTGCTGCCCTCCTAAATTCCATTCCCCAAGAGCAACTAATTTCAATTAATCACAATATTTGTTCTTCTGAATGCCAGCACCATCACTTTAAAAAATGGCTATTTTTAAATGATTAATATCACTGGATATTACTAACTAAAAAGTGCAAGTTAGTTTCCAGCCCAGCATGTAAGGAGCTCTATCTTAGCAGCAAAAAGCTGAACAAATTGAAAATCAACAACTTTATAAACATTATGCAAAGTGAAAGAAGTCACTCACAAAAGGACGCATATTGTATGATTCCATGTATATGAAATGTCCACAATAAGCAAATCCATAGAGACAGAGTAGATTACTGGTTGCCTGGAGCTGGCGATGGAGGGGAGGCAGGAATGGGGAATGACTGCTAATAGGTACAGGGAATCTTTTGTGGAGGATGAAAATGTTCTAAAACTAGATAGTGATGATGGTTATATAACTCTGTGATTACACTAAAAACCACTGAACTGTATATGTGTAAACGGGTGAATTATATCTCAATAAAGCTGTTTAAATAAAGAGTAGAATTAGAAGTAATTAACAAATAAAACTGTTGTCACAAAAAAGGAAAAGAAAACTTTATACCAGATTAGTCAAATGCCTAGAAGTAAACATAGTGGTAAAATACCAAAATAAAAGTTAGGTCAAGAGGAACCTCTAAAATTTGTATTTTATTTAACTCCAGCTTAATCCTCCTGCAATTGACAGCTCCTCTCCTATTTTTTTCACCAGTGCGGATCTGAATGCCAAGTATTAAAAAGGTTTTCCATAGTGTTTAAAAGAGGAAATTCCTGTCCACTCAATAGCTGTCATTTTAAAGTATTACCAAAGAGATTAAGGATAAAAAAATAAGTTAAACACAATAAAGCCTGTATTATAAAATCTAGAATATGTTATTCAGCTAGTAAGTGAAATTTTATTTCTAGTAAATTTTTAAGCTTCCATAGTAGCAATAACAATCTGATTTAGAAAGCATAAGCATGAGACAAAGTAATTTTCAAGCCCTATGACTCATAAAATGGAAAATGTTAAAGGCTTAGAAATTTACAAAAGGAAGAAGAAATCACTTTTCTAATATTAGGTATGGGTTATCAATTAATAAAAACAAGTTTACCTATATTCCACTGGCATAATCTCAGCAGCAAGATTCTCATAGCTTTTTGTAGCAGATGCATCTAAACAACATCAGCAACAGAAAAATAGATTAACATTTCAGTATATCTACCATTACAAAAATCTTTTCTAAATGCAACAAAATTCACCTGTTTGGTTTAGGTGATCCTGTTGTACTTGTGAACATCGAAGCTCTTCATTTGTTTCTTTCAGAGTATCAAGCTGTTCTATTAGTCTCTAAAAAAAGAATTGTTTATATAAGTAAAATATTTAATTCTGCCCACAGGCAATTTAATTTATGCTTAGAATAATTTATCTTAATTTAATTTGATAATTGTTCCTTACTTAATTAAAAATGACAATGTTTTAGTTTTAGTGCTAAGGGGTAATTTCTCTTGTATAAATCACATAAATAATAGACTATACAACACAAAGCTTGTGATTTTCCCCATTAGATAGTTTATCTTTGAACCAAATGAATGTAATTATGCAACAGAGCACAAATATGCAACTGTAGAGTAATAAAAGTACATGGACTTTGGAGGCAAATAGATCGTGCCCTGAATTCAGTTTCACTATTTCCAGCTATACTATCTAAGGCAAGTTATTGATTCTTTGGCTTGAGATCTTTATCATCAAAATGAGAATACTGATTCATAAGCCCCTGCAAAGGTGTTCTGAGTAGCGAATGAGATAAAGTTTGTCTAATATCTAGACTATAGTCTGGTGTGTAAGAGATGCTGGAGACTTGTTATTTCCTTCTATTACTCTAAGTAGCATACTGGAAGTATGAATTTGTGGAAAAACATCATTTCCTAGGGATAGCATGCTAGGACTTCATATCATTGGCTATTTTATTTTACAGCTGACAGCCAATGACAAATTTCTACACTCTGTACAAAAGGCTCATGTTTAAATGATTTTCCCGGAACTTGAAAAGTACTTTAACATAAAATCATATTTTAAATGTTATATTTCAAATCAGTAAACAAAACTCTACTTAGTCCATTATGTGGTTCAAATCAACCTAACAGTAAATTGGTTAGGGTCCAAGGGTCCTGACTCCAAGGGTCCTTAGGCCAGAGTGCACAGATGCCGTAGGAATCTCTGAACACGAACACTATAAACTATAACTACAGTCAGGCATGAGGACCCCTATAAATCTGTTCCTTCATAAATGCAATGCAAACACTAGCTAATTTGTCAAAATCAACTTTTCCAGAACTCTGAAAATTAACCAAGGGTCGGCCATGATCTGAGGAGCACTTGTTAAAGAAACTCTGCTAAATCTCAGAACAGGGAGCTTTTTGTTCTTTTAACTATTCTTACTACTATCACCCTCTCCCCAACTCTGGAGTAGCCTTTAAAACCAGCAGATTTTCAATCTTTGTAGCTTTGTTCCTGTTTTTTGTTTTGGCCACACCACACGGCTTAGTTCCCCGACTAGGGACTGAACTCAGGCCCACGGCAGCGAAAGTACTGAGTCTTAACCACTGTACCACCAGGGAATTCCCTCTCAATTTCTATGGCTTTGAAAAACAGCAGCTTAGCCACCACCAGAATGGCAGACTGGATATGAAACTCCTCCTAAAAAAGCCCCATGCTTAGAGAACTGTCACTACCTGGTCTGTCTAGAAGCACCCTGGAGAAGCCCCAGTCATACTTTTCATTGATTGATTTGTCAAAAACAATCATCAGCAATTGTTTTCACTATAGCTGCTGGAGGCTGTGATGCCAGTTAGGGCAAACAAGAGTCTTACCAAAACCTTACAAGGAAGAGCTGAGAAACAAGAAATCCACAGAGGACTTAGAAAAGTTCTGACATACCCCTGGAGATCCAGGAGGCCAGCTATATATAGAGTTGTGTGCATGCCCAGAAAAGACCTGAGAGGGCCCCAATGTCTCAGCTCTGGATAAACTTGAGGCCCTGTGCAAACAGGAAGTAAAGGCAAAGGCAGAGTTTTAAATTGCCTAAGAATTGAAGACGTTTTCCAAAATACACACTGAGTCCTTTGGCAAAGGTTGGGAGAGTTATTGGCCTCAAGGCATCTATGGAAATATCTGACTAATCATTAACTGATCTCAGTGGTAACTGAGCAAGAGAATTCACTGGTTGAACATTACAAAGAAAGAAGATTTTATAGAATTAGTCCAAAAGAGTCACTAAAAAAACCAGCAATAATAACAAACTCTGAGGTTGAAGGAAAATCTGGATTTCCAGAGTTGAAATATTATATTATTTTAAAGGTCATATTTTCAAAAAAAGTATGAAACATGCAAAGAAACAGGACAGTCCCAATGCAGGAAAAAAAAAAGACAAACAGTTAACAGAAAAAGTCAATGAGATGACCCTAGTGGGTGGACACACTAGATAAAGACTTCAAGTGAGCTAAAACCTAAAAAGCAGGAAAAAATTTTCAGCTCATTCTATGTGGTATCATCTTGATACCAAAACCAGGCAATGACATCAAAAGAGAACTACCAACCAATATCTCTTATAATATAGATGGGAAAACACTCAACAAAATACTAGCAAATTGAATCTAGCAATATATAAAAAGGATTATACCCTATGACCAAGTGGAATTTACCTCAAGAATGCAAACTGATTTAATATCAAAAATCAGTGTAATATACCACATTAATACAATAAAAGACAAAAACCACACATCATCTCACTGACCCAGAAAAAGCAGATGACAAAATCCAAAAACCTTTCAGGATAAAAACATGCAACAAACTAGGAATAAAATGAAACTTCTTCAACCTGATAGAGGGCATCTACAAACAAAACCCACAGCTAGTAACATACATAATGATGAAAGAGTGAATGCTTTCTCCCTAATATCAGAAACAAGAGAAGGATATCCACCCTTGCCATTTCTATTCAACAAAGTACTGGAGGTTCTAGCCAGGACAATTTGACAAGAAAAAGAAATAAAAGGCATCCAGATTGCAAAGGAACAAGTAAAACTACTTGTATTTGCAGATGTCCTGATCTTCTATATAGAAAATCCTAAAGAATCTACTAAAAACTATTAGAAATACTAAATGAATCCAACAAGGATGCAAAATACAAGATCAGTGTTCAAAAATCAATTGTATTTCTATACATTAGCATTGAAAAATCCAAACATGAAACTGAAAAAATAATTTCATTTATAATGGTAACAAAAAGAATAAAACACTCATGAATAAAGCTTTAAAAGGTGCAGTCTTGTACAAGGAAAACTACAAAACATTGTTGAAAGAAGCTAAAGACCTAAATAAATGGAATGTTATCCTACAGTCATGGATCAGAAAGTTAATGCTATTAAGGTGGCCAGATTTCCAAACTGATCAACAAATTCAGGCAATCCCTATCAATATCTCAGTCTGGCTATTTTGCAGGAATTAATAATCTGATCCTAAGATTCATATGAAATGCTAGGGACCCAGAATAACCAAAACAATAGCTTTAAAAAGAAGAACAAAGTTGGAGAACTCATACTTTCCAATTTCAAAACTTACTACAAAGCTCCAGTAATCATGACAGTGTGGTACTAGCATAAAGCTAGACATACACATCAATGACAAAGAAAAGTCCAGAAATAAAGTCATATATTTATGGCCAAATGATTTTTTTTTACTTAAAAAAAAATAATACACTTTTTTGCAGAAAAACTGAACAGAAAGTACAAAGTTCCCATATATTCCCTCATCTCCCCCCATTCCCCAATTTTCCCTATTATTAACATCTTTCATTATTGGGGTTACCTGTAAGAAATGATGAGCCAATATAATAATAATAACATTATTATTAACTAAAGGACATAGCTTACATTAGGGTTCATTCTTTCTGTTTCACTTTTATGAGTTTTGACAAAGGTATATCCATCATTACAGTATCATGGTCAATTGATTTTTAACAAGGGTACCAAGACAATTCAATGGGGCAAGTCTTGTCAACAAATGGTGCTGGGACAACTGAATATACACACACAAAAGAATAGAGTTAGAAACCTATCTCACACCACATTAAAATATTAATTCAAAATTGATCACAGAGTAAATATAAGAGCTAAAACTATAAAACTCTTAAAAGAAAACATAGGAATAAATCTTTACAACCTTAAGGTTATTCAATGGTTTCATAGAAACACCACCATAAAACCAACAAAAGAAAAAAGAGATAACCTTGACCTCATCAAATAAAAAAATTACTCTGCTACAAAAAAAATACCATCAAAAAAAAAGTGAGAAGACAACCCACAAAATGGGAGGAAATATTTGCAAATCATGTATCTGACAAGGGACTTATATCCAGAATATATAAAGAACTCTTAGAACTTAAAATTAAAAAGGCAAATGACAAAACATGGGCAAATAATTTGAAGAGATATTTCTCAAAGATAATTAGAAATGGCCAATAAGTACATGCAAAGATATTCAATATCATTAGTCATTAGGGAAATACAAATCAAAACCATAATGCTATACTACTTCATACCCACTAGGATACCCAAAATTAAAATTTAATATACTTAGTCAAGGATGTGGAGAAATTAGAATCTACAAATTGCTGGTGATAATGAAAAATGGTTCATCCACTTTAGAAAAGTCTGGTAGTTCTTAAAAAAGTTAAACATAGTTACCATATGACCCAGCAATACCATTCCTAGGTATATACTCAAGAAATGAAGGGACTTCCCTGGTGGTCCAGTGCTTGAAAATCTGTCTTGCAATGTAGGGGACACCAGTTCGAACCCTGGTCGGGGAACTAAGATCCCACATGCCCACGTGCCACAACTAGAGAGCCTGTGTGCTTTGGAGCCTGCGCACCACAACTAGAGAGAAGCCCACACACTGCAACTAGAGAGAAGCCCGCGCACTACAATGAAGATCCTGCATGCTGCAAGGAAAGATCCCATGTGCTGCAACTAAGACCCAACGCAGCCAAAAAATAAATATTAAAAAAAAAAGAAAACATACGTCCACATAAAGACTTGTACATAAATGTTTATAACCACATTATTCATTTAATAGGCAAAAAGTGGAAACAACCCAATGTCCATAAACTGATGAACAGATAAATAAAATGTGGTATATCCATACAATGGATTATTATTCAGCAATAAAAATGAAGTACTGACACACACTACAACATGGTTGAACCTTGAAAGCATTATGCTAAATGAAGGAATCCAGTCACAAAAACCACAAAGTGTATGATTATATATTCATATATATAATTCGTATAATATATTGTATATATATATATTATATTCATATATTATATTCATATAATTTATAGAGACAGCAAGTAGATTAATGATTGCTAAGGCTGAGGGAAGGGGGGCCAGAATGCAGGGTAACCGCTAATGGGCACACGGTGTCTTTTTGGAGTGATGACAGTATTCTAAAATTTGATTGTGATAATGGTTTCACAACGCTGTGAATACACTAAACACCATTAAACTATACCTTTTAAATGGCTGAAATTTATGGTATATAAATTATATCCTAATAAAGCTGTTAAAAAATAGCATCTATGGTCCTTGCTCTCAAGGAGCTGACAGTCTAGAGCTGGAAAACATGCACTGAGACATGACCTAGGCTCTGACTTCATCGTCCCATATGAAGGAAACTTACAAAACCCCATAAAGAATGTCTACAAGACTTTCTTTTATATCACCAATTTCAATCTGGAGAAAGACAGAACTGATTACATCACTTCCATTCTTAAAACAGCAAAGACAGTATTAAAAACTAAAACAAGACATACATATTACATATCAATTATATTTATGTTTACCTCTTTTTCCTTAAGTAAAGCTTCGTGTTTTTCTTCAAGCCGCTTCATTTCAAATGCTAGTGTGTCCGCCCTTTTGGTTTCAGAGGAAAGTTTAACGTGAAGATCCTGAACCTTTTATCAGAAACAAAAGTAAAAAATGAGAGTATATAATATTGATAGCTTTTCAGAGTTCAATAAATGAGAAACTGGAAATAAAATTTATACTAAGATTATAGTGTAATTCTAAGTATTTGTGGACTCTTTGGGCTTGGTCCTAGGTTGCAGCGATGTGGCTAAATGCATCAAGAAGGTTGGAATTGTGGGTAAATACGGGACCCATTATGGTGCCTCCCTCAGGAAAATGGTGAAGAAAACTGAAATCAGCCAGCATGCCAAATACACTTGCTCCTTCTGTGGCAAAACCAAGATGAAGAGATGAGCTGTGGGCATTTGGCACTGTGGTTCCTGCATGAAAACGGTAGCTGGTGGTGCCTGGACCTACAATACCACTTCTGCTGTCACAGTAAAGTCTGCCATCAGAGGACTGAAGGAACTGAAGGCCCAGTAAAGCACCACCATTTGAAATGTTGCTAGCCTATAAAAATTGGTTAATTTATATAACAAAAAAAAAATTTTGTGGAAATGGCATGTAGATAAGAATAAACATAAGTTTTAAAATACACAAATAATAACTTAGCAAAAAAAAAATATCAGCCTTCTACCCTGTTTATCTAGGTTGTTTGATAAACAGCAGAAGAGAATATTTTAGGTTATAACTCCATTCTCTAGGCATTTATCACTGGTTACCAGAAATACTAATAAAACAATAAAAATGTCCAAAAAATATACAAGCTCAGAAGCCAACAAAAATGTAAAAGACGTAGATAACTCAAAGTTAAACTCTTTCCAATTTTACTGATTTAAAAAATCAAGATATTTTCTTACCTGTCTCTTGTATGTTTCTAATTGTGTACGTGCTGCATTTGCCTTCTTTAATTCTTCTTCTAGGCTGACTGTATTATGCATATACATCATGTTTGTTTCCTGTAAAGTTTTCACCTGCTTGCGAAGGTCATTCAGGTCTTGGAGCTTCTGACGATATATCTCAACTGTTGACTCCAGTTTATTTGCTTTATCAGAGGTAGCCCTATAATAACAAAGACTAAACATTACTGTGTAAAAACTAGTAAGTACACATAACAATGTTATTCTGGCTGTAAAATGAGTCTTCCCAATGAACTATCAATTGGTTAAAAAAAAATGAGAGGGACAGAGAAAAGAAATCATAAACTTTGTGAGAACTTTGGAGACAGATTCAGGACTAAAACTTTCTAAAGTTCAACCCTTCCGTTATAAAGTCATCAAAATAAAAATGCTTCAAATTTGACAAACTGAATTATCAAACTATTTTATATATCAGAAAAATGTATAAAAAAGAATGGTTTTCTAAATATAATTGAACAATTCTGAGCTGCTCTGTAGCTTACAGGCCAATTGTGCTTTGTGCATAATATTTAACGTAGTTTTGCTCTAAGTATTTGATATACTAAGGAAGTTGACTCAACTTATAATTTGTTTAGCAAAGCACTTCCCTTTGGAGTTGTGCTTACCTGACAACTGGGCTAGAGCAAAAATAAATAAATAAACCAAACCACTTCAATATCACATGCAAGTTCAAATTAATGGTTATAAAGATTTCGTTTAAAATAAGGACATTAAAAACTGTGCAAGAAAATGGCTGATTAAGAAAATTTAACAGAAAATATAAAAATCATGTGGATAGACTACTTGCTTCGGTAACATTTTACAGGCAAAAACTAAATATAAATTTTATATTGTCAAAGACTATAAGACAAACCTGAGATAACCTTGAAATAAATGCTAGGATTCTTATCTATATTTTATCAAATGTCAAAATATGGTTTGTGACTGCATTTCCTTACACAAAAATTTCACAAGATATACTAGTAAGCACAAGAAAGTCAAGCCAAATGTATCTAAAAGTAACTCAGCTTACAAATTTTTAAGAAAAAGGTATCATTTTCTTAAATGAGAAATAAGAAAAAGGTTTATGAAACTGTCCTAACACGAATCAAATGTTATCCTTAAACGGTCCATAACTATCAACAAGCATAAAAGAAGTAAAGACTAGGAGGCTGGATAAAAACTGATCAATACTTGATATATACGGAAAACTCTAAGAATCCCTGATTAAAATAAGGAATACTGAAATGACTAAGTAATAACTTAGAAGTGACATAATTATATTTAGACATGCCGTACCTAAGAACATCTATTTCATCTTTCAGGGCTCTTGTTTCCTCAGCAAGACTAGTCAACTCATCATTCCTATGTTGAAATTCAATTAATTGCTTTTCAAGTTCTTCACAGTGAACACGGTAATCATCTTTTGCAGCTTCGAGCCTTGCATAAAAAAAACAAGTATTTATAATGTAATTTCCATTATTTGTTTTCTTACTGAGATATGAGCTTAGCAAAACTTACTTCTAAATTTTTTTTTGGATTCTGCATTCAAAAGAAGAAAAACTAAAGGAATAAGGTACTTTTCAGCTCTTGGTTTTAAAACAGACCTGAGAAGCAAAAGATGTTCAGAATTTTCATTTTTACTTCTAAAACACTGAGCTTGGTTTTCTAGTTCAAACAGGAAGTTTAATTTCAAAAGATGACGAGAAAATGTATATGTTAAAGTTATCCAAAAATATACATAGTGTGTAAATTAGTAAAATATTAACTCTAAGTATAGACTATGATAAAGAATAAATACTTCAAAGCCTAGAACAACAAAAACTAAAATGACAATACAGTAATTAAAATATTAAAAAATTATTTGATCAACTGAAAATAATGCAAAAAAGGAAAAAAAATAAACCCAAGACTAGATATAACAAATGAAAAATAGAAAATCGATAGACCTAAATACAGCCATGTCAAAAATTACATAAAAGTCAAATGGACTGAACATACCAATTAAAAAGGCAGAGACTATCAGACTGGATAAAAAAAAGCAAGGCTCAAATATATTTTAGTTACAAGAAATATTTTAAATATAAAGACACAATATATTAAAAGTAAAAAGATGAAAAAAAGTACCATGCAAACAGTAAGCAAAGAAAGCTGGGGTGGTTATATTAACATCAAAAAAAATTTTAAGACAAAAAGTATTACCAAAGATAAAGAGAGACAGTTCATAATAATAAAAGGGTCAATTTATCAGAAAGACATATCATAAAGGTATATATAAGTAAAAACAGAATTTTAAAATAGATAAAGCAAAAACTGACAGAATCAGAGATCCACAAATCGATAATTACTGTCGAAAATTTTAACATCAGTCTCCCAATAAATCATAGAACTAAACAAAAATGTCAGTAAAAATACAGAAAAGATCTGAATAACACTATTAACCAGTTTGATATAATTAATATTTATGATACAAGTCAGTCAAAAAAACAGAACACACATTCTTTGCAGGTACACATGGAACACTCACCACAATACAACATATCATGAGCAATAAAATAAGTATTATAAATATTAAAATATTGAAGTCTCATGGAATATGTTCTCTAATCACAAGGAAATTAAATTAGAAATCAGTCACAATACGAAGTCTGTAGAAAAGCCTTAAATATTTAGAAATTAAACAACACATTTCTAAATAATCCCCGAGTCAAAGAAGAAATCACGAGGGAAATTAGAAAATATTTCAAACTGAATAATAATAGAAACACAATCAATCAAATTTTGGGGACCCAGCTAAATCAGTGCTTAGAGGAAAATTTACAGCTTTAAAGGCTAATTTTAGAAATAAAGAAAGCCTTAAAATCAATCATCTAACTTGAAGAGGCTAAAAAAAGAAGGGCAAATTAAATCCAAAGGAAGTAAAATAAATAAAGAACAGAGATCTAAAACTTACAATATGGAAAGTTAATAAAGGATGTTTGAAAAGATTAATAAAATTGATGAACCTCTAGCAAGAGTGACCAAGAAAAATGAGAGAAAACACAAATTACCAGTATCAGGAATGAAAAAGGAAATACCACTACAGATCCTACAGTCACTAAAGGGACAATAAATAGAATATTATGAACAACTTTATGCCAATAAATTCAACAACTTAAATCAAATAAACATGTACCTTGAAAAAAACAATTTAGCAAACTGACATAAGATGAAACAGAAAATCTGAAAAGCCCTATGACCATTACTGAAATTACATGTGCCATTAAAAGCCCTTTCACAAAGAAAACCACAGATCCAATTGTTTTACTGATAAATTCTATCAAATACTGAAGGAAAAAATAGTATCATTCTTACATAAACTCTTTCAGAAAATAGAAGAGGAGAGAATACTTCCTAATTATTCTATGAGACTAGCAAAACTCTGATAACAACACCTGAAAGACATTACAAGAGAAAAAAGTTACAGACCAATATCTATTACAAAGACAGACACAAAAACACTTTCAACACATTAGCAAACCAAATCCAGTCATATGTATATAAGACAATAAAATATGACCAATTGGTTTTCCCTAGAATACAAGATTTTTTAACATTCAAAAATTAATCATATTAAAAGAGTGAAAAAGAAAAACCAAACCATCTTCTCAAGATGCAGAAAAGTCATTTGACAAAAAATCAACACCAATTAATGATAAAACTTGTAGCAAGGCAGAAATAAAGGGGGAACTCCTTCAATCTGATAAAAAGCAAATTTAAAATCTCTACAGCTAGCTTCATAATTGACAGTACTTAATTGAACAGTTTCTCCTAAGACCCAGAACAAACCAAGATGTTTGCTCTTGCTCAAAACAAAGAAGATAAATACAAGGCAGAAATAATACAAGGAAGAGGTAAAGCTCTATTAATAGACAAGGTGACTGTAGATTCCTTAGGATTTTCTACTTCAATAAACAACTAGAAGAATCAGTAAGGGAATTAAGAAACTTTGCAAGACAGAAAGGTTTCAAAATACAAGACACAAGTTTCAAGATACAAGATAAAAGTTTCAATGTACAAAGATCAATTGTGTATCTATATATTAGCAGTAACTTTTCAGAATAATGTTTTGTGTTTGTAACAGCAAAAAAATTAAATATTGGGGAATAAAATTAACAGAAGACACACATAAAACTATGATGGAAACAACAGAAAATTGCTAGAGAAATTAGACTTAAATAGACGAAGATACTACATTCATAGACAGAAATTCTCAATATGGTCAAGGTATCAATCACATACAATCCAAATCGTAATCACAAAAGGTTGTTTTTTTTTTTACAGAAACTGACTAAAAAAGCAAAGGATAGAATAGCTAAAACAAATTTTAAGAAAGAACAAAGTTGGAATATTCACACTACCTGATTTTAAATGACTTACTCTAGAGCCATAGTGATCAAAATCGTGTCTTATAGGCATAAAGATAGAAAAATTGATCAATGGGAAAGAACTGAGTCCAGAAAATGACCCAAATTTTATGGTTGTATCATTTTTCACAAAGGTGCCAAAGCAATTTGACAGAGTAAAATAAATTTCTTTTCAGCTCATGATACTGGAACAACTAAATACTCATAAGGAAAATAAAAATAAAGCTTCACATCCACACCTCACACTAGTTTCAAAAAATCAGTTCAAGATGGATCACAGACCTAAATGTGAAAGTTAAAACTATAAAGATTCTAGAAGAAAACAGTAGAGTTTATTTTCATGACAAGGGAGCAGACAAAGATTTCTCAGACAGTGCACAAAAAGCACTAATCTTAAAAATACTGATAAATCAGACTTCACCTAAGTTAAGAACTTTAACTCTTTCAGATACCATTTGAAAAATGAAAAGGCAAGCCAAGAATGGATGAAATATTACTACCTGTATATCTGACAAAGATTTTGTATCCAGAATATATATTTTTAAAACTCCTACAACTCAGTAATAAAGAGAAACAACCCAATTTAAAAATAGGCTAACAGTGTGAAGAGACGATTCACAATGTAAGATATATTGCCAATAAGCACAAGAAAAGGGGCTTACCATATCATTAGTTATCAGGAAAATACAAATTAAGGCCACAATTCAACACCCTTAACACATCCCCTGGGATAACTAAAATTAAAAAGCTTGATAAAGCCAAGTTATGTTATACAGGCAGAGTAACTAGAGCAACCAGCAGCAAACACTGCTGGTGGGAATGTAAAACAATATGAACACTTTGGGAAATGGTTTGCCAGTATCTTTTAACACTAAACACAGACATAATGTGTAACTCAGCAATACCAGTTCATTCATGTATTTGCCAACGAGAAATGAAAAAATATGTTCACAAAAAGTCTTATACTCCAATGTTCAAACCAGCTTTATTTATATTAGCCAAAATCTGGAAACCCAAATGCCCATCTAAAGGAAAATGAATAAGCAAAATGTGTCATAATGAGAAATAATTCCATATAATGGAATACTACTCAGCAATAAAAAAGAATGAACTACTGATATAGTCAGCAACATCTGTAAATTTCACAAATATGCTGAGCATAAGAAGCCAGTCACCAAAGAATTCATATTGCAATTCAATTTATAAGTACTTCTAGATGAGAGAAAACATATCTATGGTGGAAAATCATCAGAAGAGTAATTACTCTCTGGGAGATAGGGATTGACTGGGAAGGGGCATAGGGGTACTTTCTGTAGTGATAGAAATGATCTATCAAACAATAAAAGTGTGAGTTACAAAAATGTATGCATTTGTTAAAACATGCCAAATTGTACTCAGTATTTATTCATTTCACAATATGCAAATGTCATCTTAAAAAAAAAAAGAACTGTAAACGTACTGAAGTCTAGTATTAGTTTGCTTTTTACAGAGGTATGGGTTAGCAATTCTTACTTCCTATGTATTTTGGGATTGAGTAAATGAGAAAATGTACTGAGGAAAGTGGAAGCCAGGTTTCTCACTGTTGGAGAAGGAAGTTACAATATGGAAATGGAGAAAATCAGAATGAACCCTGAAGTCACTGGACTAAAATGGAAGATGATAAGATGAACTCATTGTTCATAATTGTAGGTATGAAAATAAATGCAGATATGTGCATATATGCACGTGTGCGAACATGGACTGGTATGAACCTGTGCAAGAGTATTTCCTAGCTCTGTACACCAAGGTGGCTCAGAAGTAATGACAGAAAATTTCATCTGGAGCATAGTTCTTTCTTTCTAAATAACATTCTCCACTAAAAGCAATCAGGGCTTCTTGGAGAAATGGCTGATTCTAGAGTTGAGGAAGAATACGAAGAGTCTGGAACATTTTGTTGTGCCAGTAAGTAGAAAATACTCAAAGAAGGATAGCAACATGTTGAAATTGAAAGGTTTCTCAGTGGTCAAATCTGGGACAATTTAAACATCAAGACAAATGATGACAGTAATGGAACTACTGTCCATTGAATATCCATTACTATCAATAAATGAATCCATTTACTAAATGCAATGCATGATCCTGGATTAGATTCTGAACCAAGAAAAAAATTACCTATAAAGGACACTGAAATAGCTGCTGGAATTTGAATATGATCTGTGGATTAGATAATGATATTGTATCAATGACCAATTCACTATTTTGATCACTATCCTGTGATTTATAAGAGAATATCTTTGTTCTTAGGAAATACATACTGAAGTATACAGGGGTAAAGGGGCATGTCTCCAATTTACTCTCAAATGGTTCCAAAAACTAACACGTGTGTATATATATATATGATTATGTAAAGAGACTGCTAAAGCAAATGAAGAAAACTGTAAAACAACTGTCAAACCTGAATGAAAGGTATAAAGGAGCTCCTTATACTATTCTTGCAACTTTTTGGTAAGTTTGAAATCATATCAAAATAAAGTAACAACGGGGCTTCCCTGGTGGCGCAGTGGTTCAGAGTCTGCCTGCCAATGAAGGGGACGTGGGTTCGTGTCCCGGTCCGGGAATATCCCACATGCCGCGGAGCGGCTGAGCCCATGAGCCATGGCTGCTGAGCCTGCGCGTCCGGAGCCTGTGCTCCGCAACAGGAGAGGCCACAACAGTGAGAGGCCCGCGTACCGCAAAAAAAAAAAATAATAATAATAAAAATAATAAAGTAACAACAACAAAAATACATACAGTACAACTGGAGCACCTACTCTCAAGGCCTTATAGTGCAAGGCTCAGCGGTAAGCACATAAGAGACACTCAATTTTTATTAAAGGTTAGATGTACATTTTTTTTTTTAAAGAAGAAATATAAAAGCTGATATGAAAAGCATCTTCTTTAGCTTAAGATTTACATTTTTTCCATTTATTATCAAGTTCCTTCTCCTATGTAAGAAACTCCCCCTTCTCCCCAGGCTTCAGCAATCACTCCTTTAAACTACTCTTGGACTTGCCTATGGCCTTCATTTGGTCCTTATCACACATTATTTTGAATTCTTTTATTTTTTACATATGTATCCTACTTGCCAAACTGGACTGTTAGCCCTATGAGGGCAGGAACCACTTACACCATTCAGTATTTTCAACAGTATTTTTAGGATACTAATCCTAAACATGCTTTGTAATGCTTAAAAATTAGTTGTTGATATTATGATTTTTTAGCTACTATTTTAATAAAACTGCATAAAATGATTTCCACTACAAATGTTACCTGAAGTTTTCTTCCTGTAATTGTTCTAGTTGCAACTGTGCATGAAAATACTTTTTTGCAACCATTGTATTTGGATCATCAAAAGAGCCATCCAACTGGTCAAGTTTTTCATTCATCATCTCATTCTCAGAAACTAGTGAATTCTTTTCATCTTGAAGTGCTGTCACCTAAAAAACAAATACACAAACAAAAGCATCAACAGCAAAAAAGCTTAGAATAAATCTGACCAAGCCATTAAATAGCTTGGTCAAGCAGACTAGATAATTTCTAAGGATCGTTAGAACTCTGGAGTTCTGGGTCTGGGAGATTTGGGTCAGAAGAAGTCAACTTTCTTAATACAGAGAAAACAGAGTTAATACATATAAGAATATCTTTCAAATGTTATGTTTGCTTTAGTTCTGAGAAGAAAATGTTTCTAAGTCTCTAAATACCAATGAACTTCAAAAAAATTAATTTGTTTCCCTTTTAGGTATAAATTTTTAGGATGCTGTTACCTAGTAAGCCAAAATATACACACATATATACAAAGTTACCATTTTAGGTTCCTGGTAGGAAATTATCAGTTACACATCACGTCTTCAGGCAATAGGCACATTATTTGGTTAATGAATCAGTAACAAAAACCTGAATTGAATGCAACTGCACACTGAAACTATTTTAAATGGATACAAACATGTAACTTCAGAATCACATCAACATCAGCACTTGATACATTTTTACTTTTACTTACATATTTATGTTAAGCATGATTTGCTCTCTCAGTTTTATTTCTTTTTCATTTAAAAACATCTTTAAAAATTTACAGCTAAGGCTGTGACCTTTTATAAGACTAGAAGTTTATGTGTGATTTTATTAAGATTAGTTTGAAAAAAGGTTGACCTCCCATAACTTACAATATAATATTGCACAAGTTTGCTGTTTATATTTTCAAAAGGTATAATCAATTCAGTCCAGTTATGGGAATGGGACTACATATTGACACACCAAGCTAATAAGAGGAAATTAAAATCAAATTATAGTCTTAAATACAGTGTAGGCATGTTACAAACACTGTCCTCCAAATGAGGAACACAAACAAAGGCTGGGAAACTGTTCCCAGACAGACTAGGAGGAAACAGTTTCTCTTCCTAAATTCAGTGCATGCATCCATTCTTGTCATGCAAGCAGTCTAGTGACCTGTCTAGGAGGAAACAGTTTCTCTTCCTAAATTCAGTGCACGCATCCATTCTTGTCATGCAAGCAGTCTAATGGCCTGTCATGTACAATCCTAAGTGTTTGGGATACAAAAAAGAATGAGAGGTTGTGCCCTTTTAAGATCGCTACAGCAGAAATGTAAACAATTACAGGACAGAAAATGTGGTGCTTTGGTGGAAGTATACTATGGGGGGTTGGGGGCCCACAAAGAAAACAAGATCTCGTTCTAGCTTGAAGGTAGGGGCTGTTGTAAAAAGACTGGTAGAGGAGAAACAATACCCTGTCTTCAAACTGGCTAAGAATCCCCTGAAGAAGGGAGAGGAGCACGGGCAAACTTAGTTTTCAATACCTAGTGGGTAACCAACCTTGTTCCTATCCATGCAATTTACATTGTGGTTCTAGAGCCACCTTTATCACAGATATGAAGGAGGTGGGTATTAAACATGAGAATTCCTTGGACCCATCCCAAATGGGTGACTTAAGAGTGTCCAGTGGTGGTTCTAGGCATCTCTTCTAACAAGATGCCATGGTGATATTTTGTTTAGGTTCACTCTGTACCTGCCTCTGTCCCTTTCTGTTTCTCTCTGTCTCTGTCTCTCTCTGAGCTATTTAAAAGAGACAGAAAGTTCAAAAAGCTAAAAAGGAAAAAAAAAAAAGCTCAAAAATAATACTCATATTCTCACATCACTCAGACTTAATATTTTTATAATTGTTTATTTTAAAAATTAAAATATAAAGTAAACTTCTATAGCTGGAGTCCTCTTTATCACATTGTGCCCAGTCGCACATACTCTGTAGACACTTTAAGTTTGAAAATAACTGCCTCATTGAATCTTATACAATGCTGGGTAAAAGTATGCTTTTCTCTAACATACTAGAAGCAAGAATAACCAGCCTCTGTTACTGCAGTAAGTGAAGTAGTGTTACCTACTGGTGCCAGGTGGTATGAATAATGACTGGGAAAGGCAGGTAAAGAGTGGTTGATAAACCTGTCCTAACTTGCCCCAAGGCCCCATAATCATCTTGGACCAAAACTTTGTGAAAGTTTCTCAAAACTTTACATCAAATTCTCGTGTGGATTTTTTTTCTTTCTTTTTTTAAAGTATGCATAATCAGGCCTTACTCCTGACTTAGTGAGTCATAATTTCATTTGTCCCAGTATCTATAACCATAATTTACACAGAACTCACACAGATCTTTATTTAAATGGATTGAGCTTCATCACCAGATCTTTCACTACAGAATCTCCTCTGTTCTTGCATTCTTTATTCTGATTAAAACATGTTTGCTACCTGGATTGTGTCAATGAGTAGTTTTTTTTTTCAAGAAAGGGAGTTTGCACCTGCGCTCCTCAGTTAATGCCGTTTCCCTGCCTCAACATTTTGTGGATATTGCTCCTCTATATTCCAGCATGGAAGTTGTAGGGGAGCCTGATTTTCTTATCTTTGTGGGTGACATACCTTTTCTACTTGACTGACAGTTGTTTTTCCTGTATTCTTGAAGTCTGATAGCTTAACTAGGGTAAGGCTTGGTGTTAAACATTATTCACTGATTTGTTTCTATCTAGCTGCAATCTCCTTTTAAATCTTCACTTTGTTGTCCTACCACCTAGTCTATTCTATTGATGTGTTGTTATGGAATTGTAATACTAAATGAAGTGAAAGTTATTTTCTAAGCTTGGCTGTTGTCTTTTACATGCTTTTGTCTGTTTTTGGTTTTAGTCTGTAATGTTCACAGAGATGTCATGCTCTGATTCTTTTCATCTAGTTCATGTTTTGTGGGCAGTTAAGATACCCTGTTTGTTCTGGCATAGTGTTGAAGACTTCTTGGACACCCTTTCCACTGTAACCCATGGCCCAGTATGTTCTCCCCTCTGGGTAATAGTTGGGACTGTTTTCTCTCCACCTCTCTATATAGCCTTGTGAATGGCCAGGGAAGATAGTGGCGGGGGTCGCAGCATGGGGGCAGCTGAGACAACGGGCAATCTTTTTACAACACCTGGGCTAGGCTCTCACTTCTGAGGTTTAAGTACTTCATACCAGGGTGGTGAGAAGTATATTCCATTCCCATGGAGAAATTCCTCTGGGCATCAGACTGTTTCCCCAATTCAGTGTGTGGCCCTACAGCCTTTGTTCCTATCAGAAAGAGTCCTTAGTTTCTTCTTAGCCATCATTTCCACTCTTCCCCAGTCCAAAGAAAATGAAGGACTCATAGCAGGAACTTCCTTCTGATTGGGTAGATTACTGTGAGAAGTCTCAAGATTTTTGTTGATTCCCCTGCATGGGCTGGGGGTGAAGGAAGAACAGCAGGTTCCTGCCATGCAGCACCTCTGTCAACATCATATGCCTACTTCTTTCCTTGATTACCAGCTTTTAATTTAACTTCATTAGGTTATGCCCTTTTGTTTATTCACCTGCCCTTGGTGAATTTCTCTGCAGCTTATTTTTCTTTTTTGGTTCATTTGGTTGGGTATTAAAAATGAATTCCCCCCAAATTTTAGAATCACTCTCAAGCGACATATGATTAAAAGTAACCATTTTTCAAAAATAATTTTCCTTATAAAACTGGGGTATGTATCATATACACCTGTGTGAAATTCATATTGTTAAGTATCTTGGTTTTGATTAGATGCAGTTTTGATTATATTCATTTCGCATGTGCAGCAGATCGTTGAGGGTTGACTCTATTTTGATGCTGGAATTAAAAATGCGCAAACTTGGGATGTCTACACTTTTCAACTAAAATCAGATCATCACATACTCTCCATCATGTGTTACAAACACTGAAATGTTTTAACACAGAATTTTGTGTTCTTTTTTGAATAAGAATGTCTCAGAAAACTGTACAGAGATCCTACATGAGACTGGTAATACCTGAATGATTCAATCCTCTATTCTTTATATGAGGTATTCTGGAGAGAGGATATAATCTTACTTGAAAATAAAACATCTCTGATGCTGTGCAGGTCTGTGCGTATATGTGATGATATATATGCAAGGTGAGTGTGGTTAGGAAAGGAAAAGGAGAAAAGGTAGACGTTCTCATAATTTTGAGACACTAGCTTCGTTCAAATATAAACACTGGCTTTGTTCAAACATAGAGGAGTGATGCTTAAAGATGACGTTAGAAGATCTGGATTCTAGTGCTGTCACTGCCCTACGTAGCTGAGTCACCCTGACCAAGTCACTTCTCGTTTCCTTATTTGCAGACCCTTGAACATTAGAAATATTACCCAGCCCTATCACTTTAGATATTTATCTCATCAAGCAAGGATAATGCTACCACAACCTTGTTCCTTGTCCTCACACTTTTCAGAGTCAATTATTTATGTAGCTCATTATTTGAATGAAAAGTGCAATTTACATACAGCATAATATGATGGTACATTTAAATCTTTGTATAATTTTTCGAGACTTATTGCATAATTTTCACATAACAATAATAACAATACATGCAAACATATACACAGCCCTATGCACCAGGCCCTGCTTTAAGTGCTTTATGTATATTAATTCATTTAAATGTAATTATCACTCTGGGAGATATATACTATTAAAACATCATTTCTCAAAAGAGAAATATGAAGTATAGAGAAATTAAGCAATTTGCCTGAGCATATACAACCAGCTAGTAACATAACCAGGTTCTGAATATAGGCAGCCTGGTTTGACAATCTACTCCTTTAACTGTTAACTACTGTCTCTCATGCCAAGTTTATTTTGCTAACACTTATGTGCATATGAACCCAAGAATTACATACATGTGTTAATATACACATACATGTTAGCAAAACAAACTTGGATCTCAGATTTATTGGGGGTCAAGCCCTTCTAAATATTTCCATAAAGGACCCCACTTAATATTCATACCCTATAAAGTAGATACTTTAGTTTCCCCTTTTTACAAAACAACAAACCAAGGCATCATCTAAGCAGTTGAAATTCTGCAATTAGAATGACCCTCTCAATGTAGTAGTTAAGCAAGCAATTTTCCACTCTAAAAGAAAAATAAAGTTCATGTTTGAAGAGTCAGGCCTATAACAGACTCTTTCAATGGTCCTTCCATGAAATGAAACCCAACCTCCAAAACACTTTACTAATTAATTAATTAAAATAAGACTCTTGTAAATTTAAAGAGGAAATTATTCTTCGATCCATACCTGCATATCTAGTTCTTGGCATCTTTGCCTCAGTTCTTCTTTTTCTGCTAGTGCTTCCTGAAGATCTTCCAGGGCCCTTTTAAGCTGAAATAGAAAATGTCCTCTTAGTAAATCACATTTTGAAACAAATTGAAAAATATACTTTTATCAAAACACATATATACACTGATGTTGGAAATGCTTTTAAAATTTACCTATTAACAAATAAGTAGTAATATGTTGTTTTTCTGTAAATAATATCAAGAGTCTCATTAACATTTAAGGCTAAGGTCCCACAGAAATAAAATTTTATGTAAATCTTTGTGAAATGTTTAAAACAGAGTATTAGAGGATGAACTGTTTATTTTTTATCACAGAAAAAAATTTAGAGCACAGCATGTTTATATTTAAATAAAATTTTTATAGAAAAAATTTTTTTTAATTTGAAATACTTCTTGAGATGGCTGGTGACACTCATGAAAGTCAGATGTCCAAACATATAACAGGAAAAGTATTTGATGCATTTACCTCTCCTCTTACCCTTCCCCCTTATAACCCAGATTGGGTTATACAGAGGAGGAGTGTGCCTTTTCCTCCATGTAAAACAACTGTGTAAAACAACCAGGGAAAGAAGCCCTGAGTACAGGACCCTTGAGTTAATTCTTCAATATTAGAGGAAAGCAACTGTGACAAAAATCATATTTCCTTATTAGGTAAATTAGAATTCAGCAGAATTTTTAAGTACTATTTAATTATGTAACTATACAGAATGGGCCACATATGTATTAACAAATGTCAGGAAAGTTTAATGCCACTCATCTCTTCAAACATGATCATTAAAAACTCTGGAGATGAACACTACTTGCATTCATGAAGGAATGCATAATAGTCAATTAAGATCTTATAGGAGAATAAACTAAATTTCATGGAAGAAAATAATCTTGTATGTGGTCTCCTATGTAAGCCTTTAAGATAGTAATTGACAAAGGAACTCTATCACTGTGCAACATTTTCCTCACATACTAAAATACTCACCTGTTGCTCTAATTCTCCAACAGCATCATTTGTAGGAGAGCTCACTATTTCTTTACTCATCAACTAGAATTAAAATAGTAAAATTAAGTACAATAAAGTAAGATTTACACAGTAAAAAATATGTTTACTTGAAAGGAAAGTAAAATGCTTTATGTTTAATTTTTCCTTGCCTTAATTTGATGATCCTTATATTATTCAAATAAAAAATGAATAGAGCTTTAAGCTAAATAGCACAATGTTCAAGCATTACATTAGTGAGGACATAAGTAAAATGTGCTTGAAATATTTAGATATATTTAAAATACTAATGTAGTGAAAAATTATAATCCAAGTTCTAAACGATGAATTACTAAATAAAACTGAACACATCACATAATAAAAAAAAATTATTTTTCCATAACATGAATTGACAGTTTAAAAATAGAGCTTTAAATGAGTGATGTGGCAAAATTCCTAATTTGAGAAGTCATTTTAAAAGGAGTTACAATTATATGAAAAAAAAAAGGATCCTGTAAAATAACTTTTCTGCATATGAAAGGCAGACTTATGCATAGTGATGTTTTGAATTCAAACCAGCAATGCAAACTCAGAGTATACACACTTCTAAAGTCCTAGATGCTGTCTCCCTCTAAGTCATGCCTCTTCCAAACTATGTTTTCCTCACTAACCCTTCACTCAACTTTCCCTCAGGCCTCCTCTTCACTTGACTTCATCTCAGCCTTTTGTTCTGATTTTAAGAATGAACATGCACTGAATGAATTCTGAATCTCTATGGTACAACTTAGATAACTAGACTGGCTTGAATCCAGGTTATCTGGCTCCGAAACCTAATTTTCACTATATTTGCTCACAGTTCTAACATTCTGAAAATGCATATGAGATACATACACACACACACTTTAAAATTTCAGAAAAGATTACTCTACCTGGCAGAAACAAAGAGAAGTTATAAAAACTCCCAACTGGGAAGAGGATGTTTATCCTGCTTAGTTGAAGTTATTTAAAGGAAACTGACAATGTTAATTTAACTTTTAAAATGCAGAGGTACTACAATTGGGCTTCAAGTCCTTATAAGAAATTTTCGGGGAAAACACAACAGCCAAAGATAAGTAAACCTACTACAAAGGGCTCGTTTATACAGCAGTGAAATATACATCCATAAAATCTATGTGAACAGTTTTATATAATTTGGTTTAGGATTTTCATACATATGTGATCATGATATAGCTTACCTCTTGAATGGCAGTCATGACCACATGTTGAACAGACTCTTCCAGTGTCATTATATTTTGAATATGTTCTATGATTTAAAAAAAAAAATCAGATCTGAAAAATCCCTACTCTTCACCCATAGAAATTTAGTCATTCAATTAACAACATAAAAATTCATTCACTACACATAATTCTTTATGCAAGTATATTATTTTACCACAAAAAATATGTCCATTGTAAACAAATAAGCAGAACTGAAAATAATCATAAAAATATCTATAAATTTTTTAAAGAAAATCTCTAATTTTCTGACAAGGAAGAAAAAGAGAATAAATTGCAATTAATGTTAAAACAATTATAACAATTTCTTTCCTCTTGTTAAATATTCAGTATTATGAGATGAATTCACATGTACAGGTATACCACAGAAATAGTACCAGTTCAGTTCCAAACCACCCCAATAAAGCAAGTATCGCAATAAAGTGAGTCACATGAATTTTTTAGTTTCCCAGTACATATAAAAGTTATATTTACACAATACTGTAGTTTATTAAGTGACAATAGCATTATGTCTAAAAAAACAACGTACAAATCTTAATTAAAAAGTACTTTATTGCTAACAAAATGTTAACCATCATGTGAGACTTTAGCGCGTGGTAATCCTTTTTACTGGTGGAGGATCTTATCTTGATGTTGACGGCTGCTGACTGAATAGGGTGGTGGTGAAAGCTGGGGTGTCTGTGGCAATTTCTTAAAATAAGACAACAGTGAAGTCTGCCATGTCAATTGACCTTTCCTTTCACAATTTCTCTGTAGCATGCAGTGCTGTTTGATAGCATTTACCCACAGTAGAACTTCTTTCAGAATTGGAGTCCATCCTCTCAAATTCTGCTGCTACTTCAACTAAGTTTATGTAATTTCTAAATTCTTTATTGTCATTTCAACAGTCTCCATAGCATGTTCACCAGGAGTAGATTCCATCGCAAGAAACCACTTTCTTTGCTCATCCATAAGAAGCGGCTCGTCTGTTAACATTTTCTCATGAGATGGCAATAATTGTCATACCTTTAAGCTCCACTTCTAATTCTAGTTCTCTTGCTATTTTTACCACATATCCAGTTACTTCCTCCACTGAAGTCTTGAACTGCGTAAAGTCATGTATGAGAGTTGGAATCAGTTTTTTCCAAACTCCTGTTAATGTTGATATTTTGACCTCTTCCCATCAATCACTTATGCTCTTTTTTTCCCCTCAAGGGAAACATTCCTTTATTTTTAAAAAGTTTTTATTTTACATTGGAGTATAGTTGAGTTACAATGTTGTGTTCATTTCAGGTGTACAGCAAAGTGATTCAGTTATACATACACATATATATCCATTCTTTTTCATATTCTTTTCTGATATAGGTTATTACAGAGTACTGAGTAGAGTTCCCTGTGCTATCGAGTAGGTCTCTGTTGATTATCCATTTCATATATGGTAGTGTGCATATGTTAATCCCAACCTCCTAATTCATCCCTCCCCACTACCTTTCCCCTTTGGTAAACATAAGTTTGTTTCCTAAGTCTGTGAGTCTGTTTCTGTTCTGTAAAGTTCATTTTTTAGATTCCACATATAAGTGATATCATATGGTATTTGTATTTCTCTGTCTGATTTACTTCACTCAGTATGATAATCTCTAGGTCTATCCATGTTGCTGTAAATGGCATTCTTTTTTATGGCTGAGTAATATTCCATTGTATATATATACCACATCTTCTTTATCCATTCATTTGTCGATGGCCATTTAGGTTGCTTCCATGTCTTGGCTATTGTAAATAGTGCTGCAATGAACACTGGGGTGCATGTACCTTTTCAAATTATGGTTTTCTCTGGATATATGCCCAGGAGTGGGATTGCTGGATCAAATCTATTTTTAGTCTTTAAAGGAACCTCCATACTGTTCTTCATGGTGGCTGTACCAATTTACATTCCCACCAACAGTGTAGGATGACACAAACAGATGGAAAGATATACCATGTTCTCAGATTGGAAGAATCAATATTGTCAAAATGACTATACTACCCAAGGTAATCTACAGATTCAATGCAATCCCTATCAAAATATCAATGGCATTTTTTGCAAATCTAGAACAAAAAAATCTTAAAATTTGTATGGAAACACAAAGACCCCGAATAGCCAAAGCAATCTTGAGAAAGAAGAACACAGCTGGAGGAATCAGGCTCCCTGACTTCAGACTATACTACAAAGCTACAGTAATCAAAATTGTTTGGTATTGGCACAAAAACAGAAATATAGAACAATGGAACAGGATAGAAAGCCCAGAGATAAACCCACACACCTGTGGTATATTAATCTATGACAAAGGAGACAAGAATATACAATGAAGAAAAGACAGTCTCTTCAATAAGTGGTGCTGGGAAAACTGGACAGCCACATGTCAAAGAATGAAAGAACATTCTCTAACATCATACACAAAAAAAAACCTCAAAATGGATTAAAGACCTAAATGTAAGACTGGATACTATAAAAACTCTTAGAGGAAAACACAGGCAGGACAATCTTTGACATAAATCACAGCAAGATCTTTTTGGATCCACCTCCTAGAGTAATGAAAATAAAACCAAAAATAAACAAATGGGACCTAATTAAACTTAAAAGCTTTTATACATCAAAGGAAACCATAAACAAAATGAAAAGACAACCCACAGAATGGGAGAAAATATTTGCAAACAATGCAACCAACAAGGGATTAATCTCCGAAATATACATACAGCTCATGCATCTCAATATCAAAAAAACCCCAAACAAGCCAATCAAAAAATGGGCAGAAAATCTAAATAGACATTTCTCCAAAAAAAGACATACAGATGGCCAAAAAGCACAAGCAAAGATGCTCAACATCACTAATTATTAGAGAAATGCAAATCAAAAGCACAATGAATATCACCTCCCACTAGCCAGAATGGCCATCATCAAAAAGTCTACAAACAATAAATGCTGGAGAGGGTGTGGAGAAAAGGGAACCCTCTTATCACCTATGTTCTTAATGGTATCTACAATAGTAAATCTTTTCCAGAAAGTTTTCAATGTACTTTGAAAACCAGATCCATCAGAGGAATCACTATTTATGGCAGTTATAGCCTTACAAAATGTATTTCTTAAATAGCAAGACTTAAAAGTCAAAATTACTTCTTGATCCATGGGTTGCAGAATAGATGTTTTGTTAGCAGGTATGAAAACAACATTAATTTTGTTGAACATCTCCATCAAAGCTCTTGAGTGACCAGGTACTTTGTCAATGAGCAGTAATGTTTGAAAGGAATGCTTTTTTTTGTGAGAAGTAGGTCTCAACAGTGGGCTTAAAATAGTCAGTAAACCATGTTGTAAACAGATGTGCTGTCACCCAGCCTTTGTTGTTCCATTTATAACACAGGCAGATTAGATTTAGCATAGTTCTTAAGGTCCTAGGATTTCCAGAATGATAAATGAGCACGGGCTTCAACTCTGTCACCATCTACATTAGCAAGAGAGTCAGCCTGTCCTTCAAAGCCAGGCATTGACTTTTCCTAGCTACCTATGAAAGTCCTAGATGGCATCTTCTTCCAATAAAAGGTTGTTTAGTCTATACTGAAAATATGTTTAATATAGTGGCCTTCATTAATTATCTTAGCTACATCTTCTAGATAACTTGCTGTAGCTTCTACATCAGTACCTGCTGCTTCACCTTGTACTTTTATGTTCTGGAGATGGCTTTCCTTAAACCTCACGAACCAACCTCTGCTAGCTTCAAACTTTTCTTCTGCAGTGTCCTCATCTCTCTCAGGCTTCACAAGATTGAAGTTAGAGCCTTGCTCTAGATTAGGCTTTGGCTGAAGGGAATGTTGTGGCTGGTTTGACCTTCCATCCAGACCACTAAAATGTTCTCCCTATAAACAATAAGACTTACGCTTTCATATCATCGGTGTGTTCACCGAAGCAGCACTTTTCATCTCCTTCAAGAACTTTTTCTTCATACTCACAATTTGGTTGTTTGGTGGAAGAGGCCTAGATCTTGGCCCCTCTTGTCTTTCAGCATACCTTCCTCACTAAGCTTAATCATTTCTAGCTTTTGATTTAAAGTAAGAGATGTGGGAGCCTTCCTTTCACTTGAACACGTAGAGGCCACTGCAGGGTTATTAACTGGCCTAATTTCAATATTGCTGTGTATCAGGGAGTAGGGAGGCCTGAGGAAGGGAGAGAGACGGGGAAATGGCTGGTTGGTGGAGCGGTCAGAACACATACAACATTTATAACATTTACTGATTAAGTTTACCATGTTACTATGGGTGCAGTTCATGGTGCCTCAAAACAATTACAATAGGACTTCCTTGGTGGCGCAGTTGTTGAGAATCTGCCTGCCAATGCAGGGGACATGGATACGAGTCCTGGTCCAGGGAGATCCCACATGCCGCAGAGCAACTGGGCCCGTGAGCCACAACTACTGAGCCTGCGCGTCTGGAGCCTGTGCTCCGCAACAAGAGAGGCCACAACAGTGAGAGGCCCGCGCATCACAATGAAGAGTGGCCCCTGTTCGCCACAACTAGAGAAAGCCCTCGCACAGAAACGAAGACCCAACACAGCCAAAAATAAATTAATTAATTTAAAAAAAAACAATTACAATAGTAACACCAAAAAGCACTGATCACAGATCACCATAACAAATATAATAATAATGAAAAAGTTTGAAATATTGTGAGAACTACAAAAATGTGACACAGAGACATGAAGTGAGCAAATGCTGTTGGAAAAGTGGTGCTAATAGATTTGTTGGACATAGGGTTACCACAAACCTTCAATTTGTGAAAAACACAATAAAGCAGAGCTCAATAAAACAAGGTATGCCTGTATTCAGTGAACTCTTAAGAGCTAAGCTCAGAAAGTTTCATTTATCACCTACTTAGTTCATTTCAGGAAGGTTTTCAATGAAGAGACTTATACAGCTTCCTGCAAACACCTGCTCGACATTCACCAAGTTTCACCTTAAGGAGATCCTTATACCTTAACACACACACACACGTGGGAGCGCAATAAGTTGATTCTGTCACAATTAGAAGTGATGAATCATGAGAGTTTTTCCTGTATTTGCAGGTTTAGATCGACAGCAACTGTATGTTCTCCACCTAAAACAATTTTCCAAAAGTTTTAAGGATTTATTATTTTCTAATGCTTTTATTGTTTTAATGATACTCTGGAAGACTTCTAAAAGTTCTCTAAATCTCTCTTTTATTTGTGAAGCCAAGTACTGGAAAAAAATTCTGATAGATTCTGGTATGCACCCGACCACTAAATTCTATGGGTGTGTGTGTGTGTGTTGGAGGGGGAAGAATTAACTAGATGAGGCACAAGCAATGTAATGATTTCTTTTAACTGGATTTGTTGGATAATGGAGTGTTTCAAGTCTACTGAAAGCTTCATAAAATTTTTCTCTTTCCACACCAAGATAAACAAGGTACTGTTAACCAAATTAGTTAATTCTTTCAAGATTAAGACTGCTGCAATACCTTTGAATCATTTTGAAAATCAATTCTCACTGAAAAGTATAAATATGTGGAAGGTGGTTTATATTATGGATGTGTTTTGGTTTTACATTTTAATTAAATTACTACAAGTTTTTTTTCCATTTATCTGCTCACTCCTAAAAATTGAGACCCCAGACACATACCTCCAAAAATAAGCCCAATTAGATAATCCTGACTTTCAAAATAATGAAAATTAAACTATTTCTTTATATTTATTACTTGCTAAACTTTTATTTATATACCCAGGAATTGAGCCTCCTTTTACAAATCTGAGGTCAAAATTGCTAAGTAATGCTTAGAACTAAATTATGAAAATACTACATATTATATCAATATTTATAGGAGGCAACAAAACTTAAGAGAAAATTATAGCTTAAAACATCAATTATAGCTTAGAATAGAAAGAACTGATTAATTCACAATAGAAGCAATGAGATAACAGAATAGATATTAAATAGTACAAACAAAATGAATCAAAGCCCAAAGTGGGTTCTCTGAAAAAGACTATTAAAACCAACAAACATGCTAAAGTTAAGCAAAAAGATGTTATAAATAACCAGTAACTGAAATAGAAACAAAGCATTAAATAGAAAAATAAAAAGGATCACGGTAATAGAAACTTGCTAATTCATAAAAGAATTACTATTTGTCAATTTGTAGTTAAAAATATATAGAAGTTTTAACTTTCCATAAGAAAACGTTTCTTACTTTCATTAAAAAAAACAAAACAACAGAAACATTGAGAACTTTGACATTATCTATGAGAAATAAAAGCCTATGGAGAAGTACTGACTTGCCCTAGAAAAAAAACAGCCAGTTAATAATAGAGAGGGACTAATATGAAAGTTTTCTGGTACCCAAACCCTTTTTTATGATAAACTATAGCTGATCTCATGTGTTTCATTTTTCTCCTTCCTGAATTGATTCTTACTGAATTTATCTTGTCTCATATGTTCTCTTCATTAGTTAGATAACACTGAATGTGTTTTCTAAGGTTCTGACTTAAAATGTTTTACAAACTTCAGCACCCAACATTCTTTTATGAAGGTGATGTCCTAAGGCCAATTTTGGATGAGCATGCAAAAAACATCAGCATCAAAAATGTCATCACCCAGGGCTTCCCTGGTGGCGCAGTGGTTGAGAGTCCGCCTGCCAATGCAGGGGACACGGGTTCATGTCCCGGTCCAGGAAGATCCCACATGCCGCGGAGCGGCTGGGCCCGTAAGCCATGGCCGCTGAGCCTGCGCGTCTGGAGCCTGTGCTCCACAACAGGAGAGGCCACAACAGTGAGACGCCCGCATACCGCAAAAAAAAAAAATAAAATGTCATCACCCAGACTGATGCAAGCCCCTCAAGGAAGTAGACCTTGGTCTGTTCAGTTCACATTTTATTCATTACATTCAACCAAAAATGTTCTTTTTGTACTCAGCAGGATATGGATCACTGTGTTCGTATATACCAATATAGCACACCAATTCCATTTATATCATCAGACTGCTTATCTTTATCTGGAGGATACTTTGGAAGCATTCTTCTAAAAAGAGCAGAATATCATCTGAAGAAGCCTGGAAGTAGCTGCATAATCATTTATGAAAATCTGAATCAACCTAAGGTTCTGTCTCTCACATGTTAAAGAGATAATGTATCAAATAAATAAGTACAATTTTTATTGACTATCCACTAAGTCCTAAGCATTGATTAAATTAACCTAATTAAAGTACATTTTATTTAGCCACTGAATACGAATCTCAGAATCTAGGTACAGTTAGGATACTGAAGATTTATAGCTTTTTAATTGCAGAGCTGTGCTCGAATTCAGATCTTCTGGCTTACATTTCAGTGTGCTTTCCACCAATCTACAATAGTACATTTTTATGCAATTTCCTATAGCAATGTAGGTTGTCTCTAGAAAGTAGATATCCTCAAATGATTGAAATTCACTTACCTTGCTTCTTTTCACAGTTGACAGCACAACCTAAAATAAGCTGGAGCAACCTCCCAAGCTCCACAGAATCTGAACATTCAGTTATTTGGTTTAAATCAGGGATAAGTTCTTCAGAAATCTGTTGTCCCAAAAACTGCAGTGTTGAAAATAAATTAGATCACTCATTTATGTAGGCTACAGAGAATTGACTACATTGAATTATTGCAAGGAAAATAAATTATAAATAGGTTCACGAAAAGACTCAGATAAATTAACAAATGATAAACCCACAATTACTGACTAAAACCAGTTAGTAAAGTTCAAGCAACCTCCCAAAATTTTGAGAACCAGCCAAAAGCAACTAAAATGGTTTTATAACAAATATCCTTTACCCCACTGTCAGAGAGAGGAATTGTTTAAGAAGCCCCTGGCCTGATCTATTATGATAAAACTTGTGCCTTTCCATAAAAAAATAAACAGACTTAAGTCAAAGAAAATTCATAATATTTTGATACATGTTCAATGAATAGAGAACCATAAAATAAACCAAATGAACAACAAATCTAATGGATTAATCTTTCCTGGCTCTATCTTTTTTTTTTAAGATTGCTTTTTTCTTTTTTCTTTGGCTGTGCCATGCAGCTTGCAGGATCTTAATTCCCTGACCAGAGATTGAACTCAGGCCCTGGGAGAGAAAGTGCCACGTCCTAACCACTGGACTGCCAGGGAATTCCCAAGATTGTTTTTTGCAAGAAACTAAAAAGTATTCTTGCCATTAAAAAAAAACCAAAAAACTTCAAAATGAGTTTTAGGCATTAATGAATTGAAAAATTTTAGTTCTAGAATTTTTTGGAAGAAACTACAAGTTCAATTGTATGAAAACTTTAAAAAGTAAAAACAAAATTCTTTAATGGCAAAACCAAACCAAAAACTTTTACACATTAAGCAATAAACTTTCTTATATCAAATAATCCTGCTAGAGAACTTCTTAAGATGCTGAATAAGAAAAACAAATCACTTGAATAATGCATTATCTAATGTGACTTTAATACTACTTTTATTTTGCATTTTTTCCCAATTCACTTGCACAAGCATAATTTCATAGTATGTCTTTGCTGTTATTTACATTGGAAAGAAATATCAAAACAATGCTTTAAATAGAAAAGTACTTTAATTTAGTTATAAGGTCTACTTTATAGCACTGCATAAAATCAAATTATATAAAGATGAAAGTAATTTTATTTGAGAAAAAATCAACTTAAAGAGTATCAATATAGAAACATTATTTTACAAATCAATATATTACTTTTTAGCCCCTTTACGTTAACAAAATTTGAGTGTTCTAAAAATGGAAAAATCATAATATATTTCAATTATGAATTATATACCAGTAAAATGTTATAAACAAAAAGCCAAGTCATTTTTCAGTGTCAATATAATTATCACAGAGTATTTTATATTTAAACAAAGTCAAATGATTTTCATACCTCATTGTAATAACCCATAATTCCTTGAAGTACCTTCTTTAAATTACTAGCCTAATGGAGGAAAAAAAATAAATTATTTAATATTAACAATGAAATAAAATATATGTCAAGGTGAAATACAATAAAAACTTCCTGATAAAAATGACAACAAAAACATATATTAGAGTTCTATAAATACAAATACATGATTTTTAAACATCAAAGCTTTATTCAGAGTTTGATTATAGAAAAAATGTCTTCTTCCTTAGATAGTTGAACTAGAGTGATTGTATTTAAAGTGAGCCACAACAAACTCAAGTACCAACTTAAAAGATCTAGCTATGAGCATGTCCACCTTCAGTCATGAGTGAGTAACTGGATCTAGACTTACTCTCCACCACAAACAACTAGAAAACAGGATAAAATACAAGGAATATTGTTTTCAAGCTTTAGCCAAAAGACAATATAGAACTCTAATTTCTAAGAGAAGGAAAACAAAAAAGATGAGCCCTACACTAGTCTAAGATTTCTCTCTAGAGGCAATTTTCATACCATGGCACAGGGAGGTGGAAACAAAACAAAGCCTGATGTTCTCGTGGAGTTGAGAAGATAGACATCAGAAGTTCAGGAAGGTCGAGGTAGTTGGGATTTGCAGGGCAGATAAATGAAGAGGTGAGAGCTTTGGAAAGAAATCTCCATAGTAGTCCCTTTGACTCTTTGGCTGAATACTAATTTGCATGTGCATGGGTGAAACTCAATGAGATTAAACAAAAGTAATTTCCGAGGAAACAACAATCTAGGGAACTATAAACTGAACAATTCCTTGAAGATTGCACAGGGCCAGAAACTGCTGAAATTCCCACCAGTCAGAGTGAAGAGATCATGACTATGCTAATACAGACAAGCATTCACTAAAAACCCCCAAAAGGTAACAGCTTAGTAGTGAGTCTAACCTAGCCCTAGAGGAGAAAATAACTCTAGATCTGCCTTCCATCCCCCCAAACCCTGAAAAGATCAAACTGATTCACAAGTATCTTAACTGCCTGTAAGAACAAAGTCCAACACTCTTTAAAGGAATACAAAAAACCCAGCACTCAATAATAAAATTCACACTGTCTAGCGTCCAATAAAAAATTACTACACATGTGAAGAAGCAGGAGTATGTGAACTATAATTAGGAGAAAACTCAGTCAATAGAAACAAGCCTAAAATGAGAGATGAAAGAATTAGAAGATAAAAAAGTTAAAACTGTTAGTTTAAAAATGTTCAAGGGGGGCTTCCCTGGTGGCACAGTGGTTAAGAATCCGCCCACCAATGCAAGGGACACAGGTTCAAGCCCTGGTCCGGGAAGATCCTACATGCCGCGGAGCAACTAAGCCCATGCGCCACAACTACTGAGCCTGCGCTCTAGAGCCCGCGTGCCACAACTACCGAAGCCCACGTGCCTAGGGCCTGTGCTCCGCAACAAGAGAAGCCACCGCAATGAGAAGTCCACGCACCGCAATGAAGAGTAGCCCCCGCTCGCCGCAACTAGAGAAAGCCCATGCACAGCAATGAAGACCCAACGCAGCCAAAAATTTAAAAAAAAAAAAAAAATGTTCAAGGATTTAAATAAGAGGAATATAAGAAAATAAATATTTTTTTTTTTTAAAAAAAGAACGAAATAAAGAGATTGTCAATGGATAAAAAAGCAAGACCTAACTATTAGGTGACTACATCGCTTTCAATATAAATACACAGAGAGACTAAAGAAGAGAAATAGATATAATAGGCAAAAATAATCTTTAAAAAACAGGAGTAGTACATCAGTATCAGACAAAGTAGACTTCCAAAAAAGAAATATTACCAGGGATAAAAAAAAGTCATTTTATAATGATAAGTAGATTCATTCAACAAGAAGACATAAAAAATTAATGTATATAAACCAAATAACACAGATTCAAATTACATGATTAAAAAATTAGAATTGAAAGGAGAAATTGACAAATCCACAATCATCATTAGAGATCTGAGGACTCCTCCCCCCTTAACTGATAGAATAATCAGACAGAAAATCAATAAAGATATAAAAGTAAACAGTACTATCAACAAAGCTGTAATAATCCGTATTTGTAGGACTGTAAAATACATGTTGTTTTCAAGTGCACATGGAATATTCACCAAGACAGACCATATATTAGGTCATAAAATAAGTCTTAGTAAATGTAAAAGAATTCAGAGTATGTTCTCAAAACAAAATGGAATTAAATTAGAAATTAATAAATAAAAGAAAGATATGTAGAAAATCCTCAAATATTTAGAATTTGAAATACCTACTTCTAATCTACCCAGGGGTCAAAAGAAAAATCACAAGGGAAATTACCAAATATTTTGATCTAAATGAAAATAAGAACACAGTATGTTAAAATGTGTGGGATGTGGCTAAGGCAATGCTTACTACTAGGGAAAAGTGCTTAAAGCTGATGACTTAAGCTTTCACCTTAAGAAGCAAGAAAAAGAGCAGATGTCAAGAAGAAAGGAAATAACAAAGAAGAGACAGGAAATCAATAAAACAGAAAACAAAAGCTAGTTCTTTTCAAAAAACATTTTTTTAATTGAAAAACATCAAGCCAGATTTATCAAGGAAGAAAATATAAAAGACATAAATTACCAATATTAGAGAAGAAAGAACAGAAACAATGCAACATCCATCAACAGGTGAATGGCTAAGCAATTTGTGGTAAATCAGTGTAATGAAATACTACTCAGCAAAAAAAAAGAAATAACTACTAATACAGGCAACATGGATGAGTCTCAAAAACAATACATGAGTAAAAGAATACCAAAGAGATCATAATATCTGATTCCATTTATATGGAACTCCAGAAATTAAACCTATACTGACTGAAAGCAGACCTGTGGCCACCCAGGGCCAAGTCAAGAGTGAGGATTAACTGGGAAGGGGCATATGTGCCTGTTTTTGCTTAATGGAAACGTTCTATATCTAACTATGATGGTATAAGAACATACACAAGTGTCAAAACTCAAACTATACACAATAAAATGTACCCTTCAGTTAATTTAAAAAATAAGATTTAGTTGAGCTTAGTGCTAATTTCAGACCACTGTTTGGATCAAGTACTTCTAGCATTCATTCTACATACCTTTATTCGCCAGTTGTCACCGATATCCTCTTTAATTCGGCTTAACCAAGATTCATTGAACCAAGCTACATCACTACAACAAAAATACAAATGTTGAACATTAAAATGATTTTATTTCATGAAAAATACCAAATTTAATCAACAGATTCAAAGTTATTTTCCATCTTAAAGCCTGTCCTTAATAAGAATAGTAAATATCATTTAAAATGAACCCACTGAACTTTTTGTTATTCCTAAGGGTTTCTTTTGGAATTTCTCATAGTAAATTAATTAAGTCATTAACATCTTCAATTTAACAAACATTTACTAAATATCTCATACTAGGCACCCTGGTAGGTAGATGTAAAAGTCCCAATCCTAAAGGGAAAAAAAAGGAAAACATTTTAACGTGTCTACTATGTATCAAGCACTGTGCTTGATGTTTTTTCATATTACTTCATTTAAATATAGTAACTTGGCAAAGCATCCATTATCCCCAATCTTACTCCTCAGTGAACTGAGAATAAGACAATAATTTTCCCCAAGTGACACTAGTACATGGCAAAGTTTAGTATTAAGTCCGATATTGACATTGAAGGCCAAGACAAAGAACTGCTATATCAAATTTTTATGTATTCAATAAGGCCTTGAAGAATAACACCCGATTATAAATAGTGAACTACAATAATAGATTATATTCTTTTTTTTTTTTTGCGGTACGCGGGCCTCTCACTGTTGTGTCCTCTCCTGTTGCGGAGCACAGGCTCTGGAGGCGCAGGCTCAGCGGCCATGGCTCACGGGCCCAGCCACTCCGCGGCATGTGGGATCTTCCCGGACCGGGGCACGAACCCGTGTCCCCTGCATCGGCAGGCGGACTCTCAACCACTGCGCCACCAGGGAAGCCCAATAGATTATATTCTAAACAAATACTTGGATGCTTGCTGTAAGAGTAAAATGAAGATGAATAATTTATTATCCTGACTCTTAAGAGAAATATCTAATAAAGGGAGAAAGTAAAGAGCACAAATAACTATACTCAAAGGAGAATGTGATAAATGCTTTAAGGAGTAAACAAACACCAAGAAATTACAGAATGTTAGTACTAGAAGAGGTCTTACCTAAATTTTTACTTTACAGATAAGCCAACTAAAGTGAGGGTAGAAATTAAAGAGGTTATTTCCAAGGCGGTATCCTGAATTTAAAGATGCAAAGCTGAAAACAGTGCCTAGTTTTTCAGCAATCATTCTGCCTCAGATGTGCTAAAACAGAACATGTCACTTCTGACTACAGTAACCAGAAATGGCTTCACCATTTTCAATTCATTCTTTGGAATTTGTAACCATTTTCTTTTGAGCAAATTAATGTTAATTATTTTCGACTTTTCTCAGATGCTAAGGCTATAATTACCAAAATAACTTGGCTAAGTGTATAAATGGTATATTTCTAACCAGGTATTTACCTGAAAAGACTAAATTTATTTAGTTAATGAGTCAAAACTCTCAAAGTAAATTTACTTTCTTTTGACATCAGTTTAAGTTGAAGAGGTATGCCAGTTGCAATGGTTAATTTTATGTGTCAATTTGGCAGGGCCCCAGTACCCATATATTTGGTCAAACATGCTTGGATGTTGTAGTGAAGATGTATTTTAGGTGAGATTAACATGTAAATCAGTAGACTCTGAGTAAAGCTAATTACCCTCCATAATGTGGTTGGGCCTCATCCAATCAGCTGAAGGCCTTAAGAAAATGACTCACCTCCCCTGAGAAAGAGTAAATTCTGCCAGTAGACTGCCTGTCGACTCTAGCTGCAACATCAACTCCTCCCTAGATCTCCAGCCTGCTGGTCTACCTACTCTGGGTTTTGGAGTTGCCAGCCTGCAAAATCACGTGAGCCAATTCTTAAATTTCTCTCTCATCCTGTGTGTGTGTGTGTGTGTGTGTGTGTGTGTGTGGGCATATACACATGCATATATATACATATCTTATTGGTTCTATTTCTTTGGAGAACCCTGACTACCTACTACACTTGTCTTCTGACCCTAAAAAAAATCTTCATATATGATTCTATAATTCTATAATTCCATTGTAATTACCTTTAGAAAATGGATCTAGAGATAACCTCTTCTAGTGTTTCCTCCTTTTGTCTTGCATTCCTACTTGTCTTCCTTCCCATCTCAAATCAGCTTTAGCCCTATGTCTTAGAGTGTGCTCAGGCTGCTACAGCAAAATACCACTAGATGGCTTAAACAACAGAAATTTATTCCTCACAGTTCTGGAGGTCGGAAGTCCAAAATCAGGATGCTAGCAAGGTAGGTTTCATTCTGAGATCTCTAGTTGCTACCATCTTGCTGTGTGCTCACATGACCTCTTTTTTGTATGTTTATAGACAGAGAGTGAGCTCTCTGAATTGTCTTCTTATAAGGAGTTCAATCCTACTGGATCATGTCTCCCCACTTGTATGACCTCATTTAACTTTAATTACTTCTGTATAGACCCATCTCCAATATAGTTAAACTGGGGGTTTGGGCTTCAACAGGAATTTTAAAGGGACACAAACATTCAGTCCATAATACCCTAACTGAGAAATACTTTCTAACTTCTCCATAGAAATCTAACTCTTGTTCTCTTATAAACAAATCCATCCTTCTCAAACAATTATAATTGCAGCCAATCTTTCCCACTATTAAACTTTATATCCAATCTCAGAACATTCAGGACATATCCTTCTTTTACGTTTTTGCACTGCCACATCTACATGCTTTAACTAGACTCTTGGCCCCAACAATTAGCTCCTTTTTTCTAGTATTTCCCAGAACTTCAATGAAACTTAAGAGACACCAAATAAGAAGGGAACACAAGACTAAGGAAGTGAAATGTGGTCTTAACTGTTTTCTAATAAAACTAAGTAAGAAACACTATAGGATTATTTTTTAACTCCATCCATGGTATTTGTCTTCACAATTCTACCAACTAAACATAGGTAGTAATTAACACCTACTGGTTACTAGACACAACATAGCTGTGTTGCTTCAGTGGACACCCTGACACCATTCTTCGTAAATAATCAAAAGGCCTTGTGTGCTTAGCACATCAAATTGTGATCTGTACTTTGGACATGCACATCTGGCCTCTCATTTATTAAGACTCCAAAGTAAAAGTCTATCAGGAGGGGTTCAACATACTAGGCTGAAATGATTACAGTTGACTGAGGGCACTGGCTTGAGTCAGGCCAAAGTGATAAAAATATGGGCTTTGCAATTTTACTCATTATTTGACTTACTGAAGTCATTTCACCTTTATAAACCTCTGTTTCCTCACCTATAAACTGAGGATAAAAATAATGCCTACCTCACAAAACAGTAATAAAAATTAAATGAAATACCATATGTATAGGGTATAGAACAATGTCTTACATTTAGTAAATACTCATATGTTGGCTTTCATGATTTATTATTTTAAATGCTCAAATATCTGCTGAATGAATGAATGAACAAGTAAGTGCATGATACTTGAGGTCTCTGGATATTCTACATTCTGTCTCATTCTTCTCCCTCTCATAAAAATGTCTAGCCAAAGACAATAGAAAAAAGCAGAGAAATTATCTGGTGCTTAAAGTGACAAAGCTAAAAAGTAGCATGCACTATTTATAGCTGTTATGGGTTGAATTATGTCCCCAAAAAAGATGTGTTCAAGGCTTAACCCCCACTACCTGTGAATGTAACCTTATTCGGAAATAGTGTCTTTGCAGATGTAATCCAGTTAAGATGAGGTCACACTAAATTAGGGTGGACCCTAATCCATTATGACTGGTGTCCTTCTAAGAGGAGGAGAAGAGACACAGAGGGAAGACAGCCGTGTGAAGACGGAAACAAAGATTGAAGTTATGATGCCTCAAACTAAGGGATACCTGGGGCTACCAAGGACTAGAAACAGCAAGGGAGGATCCTGACCTAGAGGTTTTGAAGGGAGCACGGTCCATCCAATACCTTGATATAGGACTTCTAACCTCCTGAACTCTTAAAGAACAAATTTTTGTTGTTTTAAGCCACCTAATCTGTGGCACTGTTATGGAAACCATGGGAAATGAATACAGTTGTAGTTATAATTTCCCCCCCACGTGTCTTTAAAATAACAACAGTTTCTGCATTTAAAAAAGAGATACATATTATGTATTAAGACTTAAGAAAACAATTAAAGAACTGTAGAATCCTAGCAACAATTCCATGGCTCACCATGTCTAAGTCATATACTTTGGGAATTGATTCTTTTTTTTTTTTTGCGGTACGCGGGCCTCTTACTGTCGTGGCCTCTCCCGTTGCGGAGCACAGGCTCCGGACGCACAGGCTCAGTGGCCATGGCTCATGGGCCCAGCGGCTCCGTGGCATGTGGGATCTTCCCAGACCGGGGCACGAACCTGTGTCCCCTGCATCGGCAGGCGGACTCTCAACCACTGCGCCACCAGGGAAGCTCTGGGAATTGATTTTTAAGATTTTATTATTTAGAAGCATACCTGCCTCAGGTAACTAATGAAAGAATTATTCATTAGATTTTGCTACTTCCTTAAAAAGCAAATTTTTCCTTCTCATTTTCAGTAACAACTTTGATGTGAGTCACAACAGCCATCAACGCAATACATAATAAATTGGAACATATAAAGTGCTTTGAAGTGTTCAAAGAAATAAGGTAAAATTTGCTTTTTTTAGCAGGAATATTATAAACTGACCCAACTAGGGGAAAATGTATGCTATAAGTTTCACTGTCTGGATCCAGACTTCTGAAAAGCTTACAGAAGAGGAAGGGGGTTCAAAAAGAAAAATAAATTTAAATTGGCTCTTATACTATAAGGAGCTGTAGACATCTAAGTACATGCAAAAACAGACAAATGAAACAAAAAAGAGGTTTAGGCCCAATTTTAGGTCACTGTCATTTGTTTTATGAAGAATGAGAGCTTTCTGATTGGTTGGCTATTTTATTATTCCTGCAGAAAAGCTATTAGAAGACAGTAAGAGACAAAAGAGAGAATAAAAAAAGAAAAATCAGAGAGACAGAGGATCAGCAGTAAAAACAGAATCCAACACATTATGTAAGAATGAGTTGGTGATAAAGGATACGGTTTAACTAAAATTGACCTGACCCTACTCTAAACATCAGGTACAGTGCTAGCATACAGGAGGTCAAAGAGCAACATGTATCACCATATAATAGTAAAAGCAGGTCTCATCTACTGTGTTGTGGTGTAAAGCTATTAAAGACACTTCAATACATATAAATGACATCTTTGGATGGCACTGTTGAAGTGAGTGAATGCTCACCAGCCTTACACCTATACCAAAACAACGTAGCTGCGTCTACACCAACACGCACAAAAATGAGAAAAGGCCAGGTCGTATGTTCTAATGACAAAAAACAATGATGACTTTCCCAAATCATCAAGAAAGGACCATATTCAGAATTCTTAGTTCTGACCAATTAAATCACTTTGAAACCAATTAGGGTATAAATAAATAATTAAGAAACATTTTTAAGAAAGCAGGGGAGTAAGGCATATTTTAGAATGACTGCCAAAAAAAAATGTTAACATGCTAAATTTATCTTTTAAAGTGTTAATCTTGAGTTAACCATAAAATCTGTCTATTCAAATTAGATCATTTTGAAGATTCCAAGTAACTAAGATTATGATATTGTTTGAAGTTGTTTTTCTAAGAGTGGTAAAGAATTTTTTCTAATCCATCTACAGAGTTTTTCAATGTCAATCATAAAAAACCTTTACAAAATGATGGCAATAATTAAATAATTTCTGATATATAAAACCATGTAGCAGAAATAGGAGTCTGGTCTCATTGAAGATATATTACCATGAAAGTAAGCTAATACAAAATCAGTATGACTATTAACTAATAAATTATGACCACAGGGCTTCCCAGGTGGCACAGTGGTTAAGAATCCACCTGCCAATGCAGGGGACACGGGTTCGAGCCCTGGCTGGGGAAGATCCCACATGCCGTGGAGTAACTAAGCCCATGCACCACAACTACTGAGCCCATGTGCCACAACTATTGAAGCCCGTGTGCCTAGAGCCCATGTTCTGCAACAAGAGAAGCCATGACAATGAGAAGCCTGCACACCGCCACAAACAGTAGCCCCTGCTTGCCGCAACTAGAGAAAGCCCGTGCACAGCAACGAAGACCCAACACAGCCAAAAAAAATTAATTAATTAAAAAAAAATTATGACTACAGAGTAGGCCCTGTACAGAAGAGTACAACTCATATTGTAGATATTATAACCCTAATCCTTATACAATGTTTGGCAAAAATTATGAAATAATGGATTTAGGAACTTTTGATATTGTATAATTATATAAAAGGGGCCCAACCCAAACAGAATCACTTTATTGGTTAAGGTACCCAGCATTTGTGACTTAAAATGTCATTTACACAACATTTCATTATTGGTGGATTCATACAGTTATGATTATTAGTTCAATATAGATTTTAAATTAATATTTTTTCCAAATCCAGTATTTCCTGCTTCAATTATCTCAAAAATAATAATCTCCATGTATTGATGTCTTAAGATGACAACAGAATAACTGAAGGAAACATTACAGTATAAGAAATTATATCACTCATTTAACCTATTTCTTTCTCAGTAACTATAACTTGTGAACATGACCAGAACAAGTTTAAAATTAACATCTCTTGACTAGATAAGAACCCTGATTGCTCATTTAATTAAGATGTATCTCTATGAACAAGCAAGAAATAATCAGGTGGTAAAATTTTTTGTTCCTTACATGCAAGAATGCCTTGGCAAAATATACCTGTCATCACTGGAAAGGATAAAGTTTCAATAACCTTTAGAATACAAGTCTAAATTTTCTTCCTTGAAATTGGGTTTACAATTATTTCAGGAAGAGTGTGGAACACTACTTACATTTGATGAAGAACTTGTGCCATGGCAACTCCATTAGTCAGCTGTTTCACATCCTGACAAGGTGCAGCAGTATTGAATGTCTGCAGCTAAAATGACATAAAGCAAGTTACTTAACTGCTTTACTCCCCTCCCCCCTCAATTTATATACATGAATGAACACTAGAGAGAAAACTGTTTTGTTTAAATAGGCCCTGCCAAACAAATGAAATTATACTAATATGTTTCTATGACTGTTATATTTTTATAAGAATACTTAACATTTCATAAAATCATTACCATACCTAATAGTCAAACGTATTGATGTCATGTAAGAAGTACTTCAGAATTTCTGAAAAACACGTGTAGAACTCTTAAGACAGTAATAGTCTGTGTATTGTCAGTTTTTAGGAGAATAACATCAGGAAAAGAATTTTAAGATAACCTAACATCTGCAAGTTAAAATTTCACTCATATCATTTGGTAGGAAAACAAAAGCTAGAAATGTCAAGTCTAAAACTACCTAGTTAATCAATAAGCTCTAAATAAGGCAGGACTTCTGCCTGTTACCAACAGTTACCCTTAGAGCATGAACAGTCCAGGGCCCACCAATCACGTCAAGTTGTATCTATCTAGTTTGGCTTTAGATGCTACTAACTTTTCAAATCTCTGTGTATTAAACATTCATGTACATTTTAAAAATAGAAGTGAAACAGTGGCAACTCTTCCTAATAAGCAAATACAAGATAGAGGAATTTTTTTAAAGCAAATTGCAACAGAGCTCAATGGATTATATACTTTCTCGACATCTAATCTCAATCCATAAATATCTTAAATTAAATATACTATGATTCTCTATTCCCTCACATATTCATCTCCTTTACTATTCAATTATAATTCCTTAGTTTACCACCATAATACACCTTTAGTGGTTGTTGTATTTTGAGATTCTACAAATCTGTCTCCATTATCCTTATACAAAGTGGAAGAATGACACAAACTACGTAAATCTAGCCACAGTTACTTTCAAAGCACAAAGATAAAGATACTTTACTGAGCTTCTACTCTACGTAGGGCACTGTAGTATAGGAAGGAGTTACAAGGGAAAAACACCAGGTTTCCACTCTCAAGTAGCTTCAATCCAGAGTTAAGGAGAGGAGAAAAAGACACAAATCATTTGCAGAAGATGTCACTTCTAGTCTCATGACTGCAGTATGCACAAAATGTTCCAAAATATACAAGAGTCAACTAACCTAATTAGGGCTTGTATTTATTAAAGACTTCTTAAATACTTATTTATTAAAGACTTCTTAGAGATGATTCCAATGGATGATCCTGAGTAAAGAAAGGGCCAGGGGAAGGAAACTTCAGGAAATAGCAACATGATAAAAGCACAAGTACAAGAAAAGACATGGTATTTTTAGGTAACATGCAGTTCAGTATTGCTGGATTTCTCTGCATGTTCAGTTGTTAAGGGAGACAACCAAGGGGGTAAAAGACAGGCATGCGTCAGAACTCGGGGTCATGGCAAGAAACTTGGAATTATCCTTAATGGTATTATCTATATCATGGGGAAACAGTAGAATAGTTTCTACCTCACAAGCTAGTTGTGAGAATTAAATAAATTAGCAAACACAGTGTACTCAGATCAGTGCCTGGCACGTGGTACAAACTCAACAGCTGTTAGCACATTAGCTATGAGTCAGGGTTTCTCAAAGTGTGGCATCTAAGAACAATATGTAACAGAATCTCCAGACAAACTAAATCAGAAAATCCCCAAGTGATTCTTATGTACATCAGTTCTTTAGAACCATTGCTCTGGGTGATGAAGAATCACTAAAGAGTTAACAAGGAAGAGACATCTTTAGTATGTTTTGGATAGTAGCAAGAGTGACACAGAGAATGGGAGAGAGTAGCTTTATGCTTGCTCAGTTAGAAGGCTCCTGCAATGGTCTTTTTGACAACATGGAATGCTAAGATTAGTTAGGGTAATGCTGACTAACAGGACAGCGTGAATTCATGGAATATTTAAATTATAAAACAAGAAGGATTTTGCAGTTGGGTGGATGTACAAGGAAGGAAAAACCCCAGGGTTTAGGGCATCTTTAAAAGGAAAATAATCATATATGTTCAGGTAAAATGTGGCTCCCACTTCTCAACCCTTCCTACTTACACATTACATCATTAAGTTTCTACAAAATGGATATGATTAGTGATTTTAAGAAGGCAATTTCATGAGACACAGAATATTAGGCAAAATAGTAAAGAAATATGTAAAAGGAGTAAATACACTGAGTGCCTCATGGCCCACCACGCCCAGATTAAGATCAATTTCTTCTTTTTACAGCCATGAAAAGTATTTCTTGGAAGCTCTTAAACTAGTTGCAAAATAAATTAGATAACAGAGAACGTCACTTCATTTGGCTAAATTGAAAGACTTTATAACCAAGAAGTGTGAATAAATTATAAAGCTCAGTGAGGGGAGTGAAGCCAAAGCAGTGGGACAAAAGAAAATGTACCCTTTCAGACTACTCTTCATAGAGGTGAAGATGCAAAAGTCTTTTGGTGAGTGACCCAAAAAGGACAAACAGGGCTTCCATCACTAAACACAGTGCTCTGGCAAATAGCATCTTACTTTCTTCTTTATTTTTAAATAAAGCAAACAATCAGAAATGTGGAAATGCTGTTCCTGAACTGCTTCAATATAAACGTCAAAGAAATCAAGGAAGAAAAGGGGTTTTCACCACTGATACCCAACAAAAACTCAACTTTGGGTCAACTCTATTCTCAAATTATTCTCAAATTCTCTTCCGTCAGCTGCTCATTTCAGAAAGAGAATCACTGCTCTGAGTTTTAAGATCTTCATAAAAATGATTCAGCCTTTTTTTTTCTTTTTTGTAACTTGGGCATACATTCGGTATTAGTTTTTCCTTCACCGGCATGTTGAAGGCAAAGAATGAAAGAACCAAGTAAACCATTAAGGAAAGCCTGGTCCAGCACTCTAATTTTATTGAAGAAATTAAAGTCCAAAGATTTAAAATTTTCAAATGTCACAGAGCCAAAAGGCAGAATTAAATTTATCTTCACACACGTACTTCAAACTCTCTCTACCATGTAAATGATGCCCAAATTTATCCTTCAGCCCTGAATTTTTTGCTGAGTAGCAGTATAACATTTCTAAGAACTAATTATTTTAAGGTGAGCTCCAAATCATAAAATATAACTTTTAAAGAACTGCCAAAACAGGCATCTCTTCACCTAACCAACTTTTCTTGATGACCTCTCTGTTAAGGATGGTTCTATTGTCCTAGAACAATGTCCAGTACTGAAAGAACACAGTTTACTACCAGCTATCTTCTCACTTCCATTATAACTGTTTTTTTTTTTTTTTTTTCGGTACGCGGGCCTCTCACTGTTGTGTCCTCTCCCGTTGCGGAGCACAGGCTCCGGATGCGCAGGCTCAGCAGCCATGGCTAACAGGCCCAGCCGCTCCCCGGCATGTGGGATCTTCCCGGACCGGGGCACGAACCCGCGTCCCCTGCATTGGCAGGCGGACTCTCAACCACTGCACCACCAGGGAAGTCCCATCATAACGTTTTTTTAATCTTATATCTCCTACAACTTCCCCTCAACACATAACATTACTTAGCTTGGCAGGGAGCACATTCATTAAGAGTCCAGGGATATCATGACAAAGGTGTCTTCCATTACCTTCTTTCAATCTATCCTCAAAGAAGACTATTACATTACTGCTAGAAGTTCTTCCCTGTGTCTGGAAAACTCATTTCTCTTGATTTCTACTTGTTGAAATTCATCAATCCTCTAGGAAATAGTTAAAAATTTATCCTAGGTATCTACAAAAACCTATATACTTAGTGGTGAATAACGAACGGTGAAATACTAGTCTCTGATGTCAGGACCAAGACAAGGATATTTACTATCATCACTTTGATTCAATGTTGTACTGCAGATCCTAGTCAGTTTTTGTTTCTGGGAATAAAGCAGAAAACAGGTCAGACAAGAGCTCTGACCCCAAAGTGCAAACGAGATGACTTCAGAAAATGTTAAGTGTTACAGACACAACAAAAAGGGGTTAGCAGGTTACAATGGGATAGGAGTAGGAGACAGGTAGGTCACTCACTGTCACAGACTGTCTCTGAAAGATGACAAGAGACCCAGGAACTGAATGGTGAGAAGCCAGCCAGCCATTGGAAGAACCAGAAGGAGGATATTTTAGGAAGAGGGAAGAGAAGTTAAAAAGCCCTGATGCATTAAAAAAAAAAAAAAAAAAAAACAGCTTGACTTCAAGAAACAGAAAGTCAACACAGCATGGTGGGCACGGAGGAGTGTGGCATGAGACCAGTTTGCAGAAAGTTGGGGAGGTGAGGTAAGACCAACTATGCAGTAGCTGACGAACAGCAAAGTTCACTGGGAATCATCCAGAGAGGTAAAGAAAAGCCTAGAGGCAGGAACCTAAGAAACTAAGGCAGAAGACAATTTCACAAAGGAGCCATCAATTAAGATAAGGATAATATAATAGTTCCCAGTCTGCCAATCCCAGTACGTGAAGGCCTTAGAGAAAAGAGCTCAAGTGCAATGGGCTGAGGAGTAAATAAAAGCTCAAAAAGTATAAAGGATGAGTACTTAAAAATGCAAGAAATATGACTGTGAAGGAAGAGGGGGAATACAGTGTAGTTTTAATAGGGAGTGATGGCTCTTTTTCTTTTTAAGAGAGGGAAGATTTGAGCAAGTTTACATGTAGAGAGGAAAGAGCTAATGGAAAGGAAAAAAATAAATACCAAAAGGGGATAAATGACAGAGCAAAGTTTTACAAGAGGTGAAAGAGGTGGATCTAGAGCCAGAGCCAAAGATAAGGAGGAGGTTGTTTTCCTGATGGGGAGAAGGTTTGGGGCTCAAACAGGGTACTGATAAAGGTTTGCAAGGAGAAGTAAGAGAGGAACTGTGTGGTTATTCTTAATCATAAAGCTGGGCAGTATACGGGAACAGGAGAATTTGGCTGTAGCAACATTTGAGAGGCAACAGTCTGCACGTTAATTCCATTTTCTCCATAGTGTTTCAGCAGCCTGAGAGAGAACTGGAGAAGCAAACAACCAGTTATACTCTGTCACCTATGATTCCTTATCTTTCCTTATTATTATAAATAATATTTTTACATGGGACTTCCCTGGCGGTCCAGTGCTTAAGACTGTGCTCCCAATGCAGGGGGCACGGGTTCGATCCCTTGTGCAGGAGAACTAAGATTCAACATGCCATATGGTGCAGCCAGAAAAATAAAAGTACATATAAATAAATAATATTTTTACAGTGTTTAAGGAATTTTGCCTTCCATTATAAAAAATACACAGCTCTGCCTACCACGTCAATTAAAACTGAAAATTCTTTGATTATGCTTGATATCTTTCTTCCTCAGTGTCTTATACAAAGTAGGAACTTCACTATTTATTAATACTGATTAAAACAATGGATACAGTCACAAAATATTTTAAATTTTGAAATACAATTCAAGAAAATCCTATACTTCACCACCAACTCTCATGTAAGTCAATGACATCATAAAGACTAAGTTTACTAGGTAAGTCATGTTTAGAGCAACAATGCAACAGATTAGGATACACCCTTTAATTGGTCACTTGTTTAATAGAACACATCATTAGAAGTAATGTTGCCTTGTTTCATGACAGCCTTAAACATGGTATCTAAATCCCAATACTTCTTTTTTTTTTTTTTTTTTTTTGGTACGCGGGCCCCTCACTGTTGCGGCCTCTCCCGTTGCGGAGCACAGGCTCCGGACGCGCAGGCTCAGCGGCCATGGCTCACGGGCCCAGCCGCTCCGCGGCACGTGGGATCTTCCCGGACCGGGACACGAACCCGTGTCCCCTGCATCGGCAGGCGGACTCTCATCCACTGCGCCACCAGGGAAGCACTCCCAATACTTCTTTTAAGTGAAAATACAGATGAACACTTTGCTAATTGCTTTTAACTCAGAAACTCCAGATGCTTGCATTCTACTTAAAGCAAAACCTATTTACCTCCAAAGTGTAAAGGTTGCTTTACATTATGGTTATTTCCAATAAACTTCACACATTGTCAGAAACCTTCCCTAATTTCTCATTCTTTTGAATTACATGCATTGAGAGATAGACAGGGAATCTCATCAACCAATTACCGCCTCCTAATCCAGTCTGTTTACATTCCATTCTGCACACAGTCCCCTACACAAAACTAAACAACTGGTTTAGGGATGGGCATCATTGACAGCACCTTGTGGACCATCGAGCATCAACCTTGCCCAATGTGGGTTAGAAGCCACACCTGAATGTCAGCTCTCTGATAGCTGAGCACCTCCAAAAGGTGACAGAGACATTGTTTTGCTGGCGGGAATAGTGGGGACAGATCCTGCCCGTCCAAACCCAACAAATTAACAGAAATACTAAACGCGGATAAAGTGCAAATGAAAATGCCACGTTCTTTTCTTTAAGGAAAATGCTTGTCCATTGGAAGGGGAGGGGAACCAGTGAGAAAAAGGGAATACAAGCCCCCACCCCTAACATATCTTCTGATCCACGCAGGAAATACGTGGAAACATCTCTTCTAAGCGGCTTCTACAAAAATGGACGTCCTGGGGTCAGGGAGAAGCAATGATCCACTAACTAAAACCACCTCTTGGTCACCTGTGTCCAAGTAGAGGAAGGTGCTTGCAGTGGGAGGGAGGTTTCAGCGGGGGTCTTCACTCCTAAGTGGCACAAAGGTCACTATGGTAAGACTGTTCAGCAGACGGAAGGCAAGGGTGTCGGTGGCCCAGAAAGTCTAGGGCTTGGGCGCAGGGCAGGGGCAAAACATGGGAGAGCGGGGAGTAAAGGGATGGGCGCTTGGCTCCCGCCACAGCTGTTCGGAGCACGATCAGGGCGGTAAGACGAGCCTCCTCCGTCCCGCCCCCCAGAGCTCCCTTTACCCTTCCCCCGCCCTCAAAGACATAAACACACGCACACTCACTCACGGACGCACACCTGCCCCGCGACCCGCAGGTGGCACTCTCGCGGTCAAGGGCGACGGGAGGCGCGGAGGGTAATGCGCGGAGTCCGGGGCGCAGGTGGCCCCCGCTACGGCGCAGGTGGTCCCCGCTGCTCCGCAGGCTCACCTGAGAGGTGCCAGTGACCAGGCACCCCCCAGGACCTCTCCGCGGTCTCCCGGCCCCCCTCGCTCCCTGGTACTCACCCAGATGATGAGGCTGTCGCACAGTGGCAGCTCGGACTGCGGAAGCGGCTGCGTCTCTTCCATGGCCGCGACTGCCGTCAACTACACCGCTGACACCAAAACCTCCCTCCTCCCCGCGCTCCGCTAGGCGCCGGTGTCGAGGACCTGCTCGCCCGTCAGGAAAGCTCGGTAGCCAGGCCCAGCGACCGCGCCGCTCACGCGCGAAGCCTCGCGCTGCCGACGTCGCCGGCGTAACCCCCTCCTCGCCGCTGCCCCTGCCCCGCCCCGCAGTTCGCCCCCTCCCCCGTCTGGCCCGGGCCGCGCTGCTCGGCACCTGAGCCCCGCCCCCTCCCCTCCCTTCCCCTCCCCGCCGTCCTCCCACCCCTCCTTCCCACTCCGGCACACCTCTCCCCTCAGCACTGAGTGACCTGGGCGCGCACCAGTCACAAAGAAGATAGGTGCCGGAGGGGGACGGGTGGGGCGGGGAGGGGGCGGGAAGAGCGGGAATAGGTTGAGCAGGAGGGATTGCTGATTGGACACGCCCTCTTGGGCTTCGACCAATCAACGTGAGACAAGACTGTGCCTCCTAGAGAGCGAGCGAGACGGTGGGAAGGGGTTTATGACCTGGCAGGTGCAGCTAGGGTGGGGGGGCAGTGAGTGCGCGTGCGCGTGCGCGGTTGGGGGTTGCTGAGGCGCAGCCCTAAGGGCAGAAGCGGCCACGGGGGCCTAAGGGTACGCAGGGCCGGCTCGGGCATCTTCCGGCCTCTTTCCTCGCCGGTAGGACAAGCTCCTGGCTACAGCTATGGAGACCCACACTGCTTCCACAACGTCTGCAGAAATAGATCCTACCCGTGAATAAAAACCACTCCAGATAGGGAGAGTTGATTTTCTTCTAGGCTCTCATTAGAAAACGATATTTTAATTTGCAGATAAGGCAAAGAAATGTGTTTCCCATGGGGGAAAAATACTATAAAGCTGCTTAAATCAAATAAGCGCTCACGAGATTACAAACCATGGGCAACTTTATTTTAAATGGGGCAAAAGGTAGGAAAATGAAAAATGAAATGATCTTTTAGTTTTCAAAAAACATGGAAGATATCAATGTACAATGCTTCTTATTTTTCTTTAACGGTTGAAAACTTGTCTTTTCTGAGAATGTTCATGGGGGAGGGGGAGGTGTAAAATTGGAAACTCTCCAAGGTACTGATGTATAGCTTAGGCTATTGAAATGGGCTGGCATATTGTTAGTCTTGCGGTTGATTTACATCACTTCACTCATTGATAAACTCATCAATTCTTGCTCTGTGTAAAAATGCAGCTGGATCCTTTATATTACTGCATCTTTATACTTAGACACTGAAAGTTTAAAACCGATGGATGACTGCAATTAAAAGCCCGCCAATATAAATCAGTCTCATTCTAAAAATACAGTACATGCATTTGCTATTGAGTCCCTTAACATTATTCCAGAACTTTCTTACCTTGTGTGAAGTATTTTATACTTCGGGACACTAGCAACATTAGTAATATGACTTAATGAAAAGTAAAAGATCTAAGAATTGAAGACCTTGTCTGAGTCTTGACTTTACTTCTCACTGGCAATGATGACAGCTTTCTCCTCTGGAACCCAACCACCACATTCCTGAAGTAATGCTAATGACGCTAACCTGCCCTGCATACCTCACAGAGGCAAAAATAACGGATGTGGAAGATTTTTATGAATTAAAAACTCCTTTGCAAATATGAGTTACTGCAACCATATATGCTTAGAAGTGTATGAGAACACTTACTACTAAGAGCCACAGGTGATTAAACTACTTGAAGTATTTAAGAAGAGTAAGTGAGGGGCAACTGAGTTATCCTTCTGGGCTTTATACAAGCAGAGAATAGGTCCTCAGGGAAGGATGCCCAGTTGTCCTCATGGTACTAGATCTAATGGGAAAATATGTGAAGGACATGATTGTGAATTCAGAGAAGAATACAAATATTTCAAACAAATATGAAAAGTTAGAAAAGTGCAAAACATGAATCATTGAAATAAAACAACACAAAACAATGTTGAAAAGAGTAAAGTACACTTTCGTATACAACTGGAACAAGCATTTTAGAATATTTTTCTAAGTTTTTAATTATAAAATTAGCTTGCATTACATTATACCAGGAAAAAAAGATATTAAAGAAATGCCTGATACAATATAGGCTGTTATTTTCCAACTTCTGGCATTCATTCCTAAAAGTCAGCATCCATATTTGGAGAATTGAATAAAACTAATTTTTAAGCACTGGCCATGGAATTATAAATTGGCACAATCTTTCTGAGAAGTTTTTGAGAATAGATATCAAGAATCTTTAAAATGTTCAAAGCCTTTAAGTCAATTTTACTTCCAGAATCTATTCTAAGAAAATAATCAGATGCCAACAAAGTTGTTGATTGCAGTGCTATTTATCAAAGCAAAAAAAGAAACAGCCATTAAATGTCTGAAAGAGGAATGATTAACTACATTATGATATATCCATACAATAAAATATATTGTAGATCTTAAAATACTTTGAAAGAAGTTTAATTACTCAGGAAAATGCTTACAAAATAATATTAAAATTAAAAAGTGATGATACAAATCTGTACATACAGTATGGATTTCTCTCTCTGTATATATATAGACACATATCTGTGGACGCATGTGTGTGTATATATGTATGTATATATACACAGAGAGAGGAGAGACTAAAGGAAATAAACAAAAATGTGAATAGTAATAATGATAATATCTAGGTTTTGGAATAATTGGTAAGTTTTACCTTCTTTGTACTTTACAATAATTTAGAAAATTTCTATAGTGATCTTATCATCTGTAAACTCGAATAATACTTGTATATTTCTGTACATGTGTATATTGCTTAGGGATTTTTTTGGTGGTAAGTGGGTGAAATCAAACCTGGTAACTATAAAGAAAACAATGTTATTGCAAGTGTAGAAAATCTCACAGATTCGGAGAAAAATTTGAAGAACTCTGCATGGGAAAGGGCAGGTCCCAGAGCAGCTCATCAGATCGAGGTAGCAAAAATTATAAGAAGTCTTTTCAGGAGAGCACCACCCAGATGAATATGATAAAATGGTTGCAAGTCTTTCTGAGTCATTCTGTTCAAGATTCAAGTTGCAGGAAGGGCATCTGATGGGTCTATCAGGGATATGTATCCAACCCTTTGCCAGAAGAGGACAAAGGACCTCGACTGGCTGCCCCACCAGGACTGCAGACCCAAGTTGAAATCATGGAGTGGTTGCCCCATGTGGATGGAGTAGGGGAGCTGGATGCCTGCAGACAAAAACAAAAACAGCAATTCTCTCCACATTTTCTCTTATGGTTGCTGTGAAGACCAAATGCATATAAAATGCCTAACAGAATTCCTAGCTCATAATAGTTGCTCAATCTATTTTAACTGTTATTTACACTGTGTGTATGTCTTAAGGTGTGTGTGTGTGTTTGCACTCATTAAAAAAACTGAAAGAAGATATATTAAAATGTTTTAGAGGTTATTCACTGTGATTATTTTTTTCCATTTTCCTATTTTACCAAAATGAACTAATATTACCTTTTTAAAATAAACCAAAAAAAATTTAAGAGAAAGACGAGGTCAGGATGAGATTTTAAGCTCTGAATTGGACTCTAAGTGGATGGATACATGATAAAAGGAGAAAATCCCTGATTAAGTACCTTAAAAAGAATTGTAGTAGGCTCTCTTGTAAAGAGGAAATCTATGTCTTGCACACTCAAACCATGGAGTGAAAGAATGGAGAAGTCTAAGGTTTTCTCTGCTGATATGTAGATACCCTGAATGGCTGAGGGTGTTCACCAGCTAGAAGAAAACCCTGCCCTGGACAGGCATGGAACTAGACATTCAAAAAGAGCAGCCATTCTAGCAGAGTCACCATATCAGCAGCAGACAATCCAGTGGACCTTGCCAGCAAAGCATTCATTCCTGAAGCATTCCCCCACAACAGAAGATCCAACATCCGATCAGCATCGAGATCCACAGTCAGTTAAATGCAACAGGAGACATTTCTAGATTGTAACAGTTTTCAGAATCTGGGAGATATTTTGAAATAAGAATGCCCAGGCCCTGGGCAAGGGGATTTACAAACCCTAGGTAGGGAAGAGAGATGATGACAAAAATTGACATTTTAAAACAGCTTCTAGTTCTCAGACCTGTGATCACAGTCAGTGCAAGTGCCTAGCTCTGTTAAATACTGTACTGGGTTTAGGGAAGCAAGACCAATCCCAAACACTAACCATGGGTGAGTTTTAGGCTTTGATAAAGAGACAATCTTGGACAGAATTGACTTGGGCACTCAGTAGATCTGAACTTTTAGGTGATGGGATTAGGACAAACTTCATCCCCACAGGTATTTTCAGCCATGGTGACTATGGAGAAAGAAACTGGAGAAAGGGGATCAAGGATGTGGACTACTTTCCACTGTGTATAAAAGGGAATAATTTCACTCCTGTTATGAAATTAATGTTCATTTGGAGACTGTGCATGACACTGAGAATTTTGCTTCTGGGGCTTTTATAGACAAGTGATTTTATATCACTTAATGATACTGCTTTTTAATGCATTTTAGTTCAGTATTTACAAGTGATGTTATTACTAACCTGTTGGGTTGCCCAAAAAGAGATTATTCTAGGGTTTCAATGAAGAAGTTCAAGCCAAGTGCAAGTTCAAATTAAGGGTGAAGTCATCTCTGTCACTGATGAATGTACATCTACAATGCAAGGGATTTCAAATTTATACTATAAGAAAAAATTGCAAGAAGTGACTCCGAGATGGAGATTAGCATGCAAAAGGTTTATTAAGAAGTGCTCTTGCGAATAACAGCCATGGAAGGGAAGGAAAGGAAGCAGAAGTGCTCAGAGGGAGAAAGAAGAAAGGCTGTGATGCAGTCCTACTGAAAGTCCCAACCAATCCCTGGGGAGCTCTGAAGCTGGAATGACCCTTCTGAGATGTCTGAGTTTGGATGAAGGGGGCTTGATCCTTATGCCACCATGTTGATGAGTCCTTGGATGTGGACTACTGTGGAAAGGTGGCATGACAGCCTAGGCAATTCACAAAGGCTGATGGCTGTCTGCCAACAGCACTCCCAGATGTTGGGATCTGGGTATCACATCACAGTATCATCTGAACAGCAGTAATGTCCACAGTCATTTAGGTAGAGGTGGGGGTACCATCACTCAGAACGGTAAAGCATGGTTCAAAAAAGCATGGACAGGTAACCTTAACTGGGGCAATAGTATAACCACACAGTTAAAATGGTCACAGAGGAAGCATGTTGGTATTCCTGGTTCTTG